GCTGCGTTCAGGCACCTTTTGATTAGCAACCTATTCAAGCAGTCGGAAAAACCAAACTGTGCTGATGACATGTTTCTCCTTGCTACGTTCCCAGCAGGCCTTTTGGCACCTTCTCCTCGTCTTGCCTTAGGAAGCACAGTTTTTCTTACCACGGCAGACGATTCGCCTTCAAACTACCCTTTGGCAATAGGAGAGAACAACATGGTTTATTTTGCTGAGTGGCTGGCATCGAAATTCCTCAAGGTTCATTCCTGTGTAGGAACATCCCAGAAATATGAGTTGAGGACAGAAAATGTGTGTTTTTCTGAGGGAAATCAAGTGCTCTTGTATTTGAGTGTGAAAGGAACTGCCGACTCCCACTTTGGAATCCTCTCAGTTCCTTCTGCTTCTTTCATATTATTTGTTGAAGCTTGTGAGGAAGTCTTCGAGACATGTATCAACAACATAATTTCAAAGGAGAACGTAGGGCGGACTCTTTGTGTCCTTTTTAACCAGAAGATTTCAAAGTCTCTGACTGTATGTGACGAAACTGTTTATGATAATTTATTTTCTCTGATTGCCAGAGTCATTCTGCGCTGGTTCGAGCGGAAAAAAAATGCTGACTATTTGATACAGTAGCGAAGTGTAAAGCTAGGCAGCAAGTGCACAGACTACGTATGTGAGACCACCCAGAGTACTTTTTAAAGCAGTGCAGGCATGTTCTATTCGAGCCTTTCATTTTCTTCGGTTTCTCGAGGAGTAATGTAGTCTTCTAACTTATTCACATATATAGAGTTTAAAGCTGTGAAGCAAAACTGGCTTATGAAGTGCAGCATACCACAGGGCTCCAAGAGGGTTTACTCCACTTGGCTTCCTTGACATGCACCAAACAATCGCTGCGTTGCAGTGTAGCAGCACCAGCAGATGCAAGTTAAGATATTTTCAGCATTATGGTACCTTGCCCAAGGAATGTGTAGAAAAGTGTAGCTTTTCTGTGTATTACAGTGGTGGCCTCAGCTGTCGTCGGAAAACTGTGGAACCCCCGGGTTATTAGTGGCTGCCTATCAACTGTCAATGTCCTTACAACATCGAGCCGATTGTACAATGTCTTATGTTATAACAGTGTGCCTTATGTACCGATCTACTAATTTTCTTCGACCATGACCTTTTGAAAATAGTTGATACCGATTGTGTAATTCTAGTGAGTAATCTGAGTGAATGATTGTGAGTGAATAAAACAAATAAAACACGACTGTTAAAGCGACGTTGGACTTGCATTAGAGTTACTGTTGTGTATTTCATACGCCCAACACACTCCAGCAATTTGATTCACTCTTTTTTGTGACATTACATAATTTGCTTTAAGGTTTCTCACATATTTCCCAGGGATCCTGAAGGAACAAAAAGCAAAACACTGCGGCTGGAGTTTGACCACAGTGCAAAGACACGATGGTTGTGACGAAATGAAACTACTCTCATAGCAGGTCGGCTAACAAAGTCGGCTGCAGAAAAAAAAACATTTCGAACAAAATATAAAAGCAAGGGCAAATAAGGGTGTAAACGATCCAGTATTCCAGTATATAGTAAACACAAGGTGTAAACACCCCAAGAAAAACCCGAGTGCAGGTAAAAAGAACGACATATACACTAAAAAGTATCAAACAAAGCTCAAACACGGAGCTATGTTTGAGACTTTTTAGTGTTTATGTCGTTCATTTACCTGTGATCTCTGGAATTAGTTTTGTTTAATTTTCGCGCCAAACTGCACGCACGCATGCCGTCACGTTTTTTTCCGGAAGTGCCGTCACTTCCTGTTCATTTTTTGTTCCGCCGGAAGTGTCCCCACGACTCATAGATGGCGCTAAAGCAGCTCCATGGGCCGCCATTTTTTCGACATGTGGGCTTCTATGGAAGCTTCGCTACCCATGTACATATACCTTGGCTGCGCTCTAAAAATAGAACGCGGCAATTTAGCCTCCACCAGTGCCTGGAAGTGCGCTTACGCAGGCTGCCACTGCCCACTGACTAGAAAACCCACAGCTCAGCGCAGTCGGGCAACACTGACCTACCCTCTCAAAACCAGGGACGTCCGCTGTAAATCGCTTCGTTCGAGACTGCCGCTGGAAAGGTCTATACACCATTCCATTTAGCGCTCTCTGGGCGGCACCATTTTGTTCGACCGCAGCGCCCTCTCCACACATCCGGGAAGTTCAGCGGGTTCGGCGGGGTAAAACGAGAGAGAGGGCACCCGCCCGACTCCGCTAGCAGACGACAAACCGGGAGGTGGCCGTTCTCCATCTTTGGGCTGTATCGGCGGGCTCTACCGAACATCGAACTCTCGCTAGTGGCTGACGTTGTGAAGTGGTTCGCGTTCTTAGAATAGTTGTGGCTACTCCAAAATCAGCCTATAGCTCTCTGTTGCGACGCCGACGGCGACGCCGCTCAAGCCGGAAACGGGCCCCTAAGAGCTGCGCTCTAAAAATAGAACGCGGCAATTTAGCCTCCACCAGTGCCTGGAAGTGCGCTTACGCAGGCTGCCACTGCCCACTGACTAGAAAACCTACAGCTCAGCGCAGTCGGGCAACACTGACCTACCCTCTCAAAACCAGGGACGTCCGCTGTAAATCGCTTCGTTTTAGCGCTCTCTGGGCGGCACCATTTTGTTCGACCGCAGCGCCCTCTCCACACATCCGGGAAGTTCAGCGGGTTCGGCGGGGTAAAACGAGAGAGAGGGCACGCGCCCGACTCCGCTAGCAGACGACAAACCGGGAGGTGGCCGTTCTCCATCTTTGGGCTGTATAGGCGGGCTTAGTCCTGCCTCGTCTGGAATACTGCTGCTCCGTGTGGGGACCCTTCCAGGCTCACCTCATCGACAGGCTGGAGGGCGTGCAGCGCCGGGCTACTCGAACACTTCATACTCGGATGTTGGGCCGGCAAGTTCCTGTGCCGCCATATGAAGCTCGCCTTAGGGCCCTTGGGTGGCAAAGCCTCTGCCACCGCCGGACAGTGGCTCGGGTTGGGCTCCTTTGTAGGTTGCTCGACGGGTCCATGAGCGATACCCACCTCCACTCATTCATCAGGATCGGGAAGCGATCCGGGCAGCCAGAACTCTTGCACGCCCGAACAGTGCGCCACTCGCACTCCGTACTCCCCGCCGCCCTCAGAGACTTTCTTGCGGCCCCCCTGTCGATTCGATCTCCACTCCCCAACAACCGTGACGAGTCCGCTGCCTTGCGCCGTGCATTTTCGCGGTCAAAGCACCTAAACTGATTCTACGCCATGATCATTGTTCGGTTTCATTTTGTTTTTATTCGTTCTCTGTTATTGTTGTTTGTTTTGTTATTTCATGCCCCGGGTGGTTGGCTGACAGGCACTCTAGTGTACGGGCTCTCGCCTTTCTGTCATCGCCTCGCAAGCCACCCGGGGTTACATTGCTCTTGCAAATAAAGATTATTATTATTATTATTATTACCGAACATCGAACTCTCGCTCGTGGCTGACGTTGTGAAGTGGTTCGCGTTCTTAGAATAGTTGTGGCTACTCCAAAATCAGCCTATAGCTCTCTGTTGTTCTATTTTGCTAAATGATCAACTAGCATATCTTTTTTCCGTTACTTAAATAGCAGTTGAGACAGCCGGCAGTACTACCCTCAACTACTGCCTGTATTGCGGCAGGAGAGCACGTTTTATTTATTATTTCAGACTTCCACTCATGATCGCTAAAGGCCTACACCAGTACGAACTTTGTATAGTAAAAAAGGTACAGCAACCGGATTTACTTTTCGCCAAAGAGACCGGCCAATCTGACACAGGTTTCCCTTTTTTGTTTTTTATTTGCACGCAGGTAACAGCGCAATTGGACCCTGTGAGTCTTTTTATCTAGCATAGTATAACACGACAACTGGCATACCAAAATCTGCGCATCTGCGCTTGAAAGTTCCAAAATGACGCGATTTTAAACAGAGTTTGCACGCCAGCCGGACGCTAGCTACAGCCCACTCGGCGGAGCGGACGGCATGCGGGGTGAGAGGGGGAGTGCATTTTTTTCTCGTTTACCCTCTCTGCTATGACCCTAATAGAACGGTCTATACAAAGAAGAAGAAAAAAAAAATTTCAGTCTTTTTAGTTTGGCGAAGACGGAAGACCAGCGAAGCTGTACTATGGGGGAAATTAAGTAATGGCCGGGTGCAAGTCGGCAAGCCAGAGTGGAAAGGTTGCCGCCATCTATGAGCAACGGCAGGAACTAGACAACCGGCAAGCCGTTGTCTGGTTGCCGCCGTCGTTCATAGATGGCGGTAGTTGTCCGGAGTTTTGCTTCGACATTTGCTTGCCCGTGGACACGATACTTCGGAAACTAGGCCTTAACAGCTCCGCTGTAAAAAACATTACGTTAATTTTGAGGTATGTGTTTACCAATAAAGAGTACTCACTGTAGAATTTCCCCTTTCACGTTTTTGACCCCCGAAATAAAGGACGCATTAAAATTTGTAGCGAGGTACACCCGGCCCTGATAGTATCCTGATACCAGAATATAAAACCAAAACCATAAAAATTATATATACAGCATATCTTTTTATGATTTTGGTTTTACATTTATAGTGGTTTTATTATTATTAATATTTATTGATTTTAAATAGCTTAAGCGTTAAGCAACCGCAATCTTACCGAGAAACGCATGCCAGGAGCGCTACGTGCTCCGCATTGTAAGCGGGGCTAGTGACGTCACTCCCCACTTCGTACTCTGCCATTGCGGCGGCAGCTTATGCAACCGCTATCTTTACCAAAAAACTCAGGCGGGAAGGCTACATGCTTATCTATCACGTGGCTTTGACGCTTGATTTGAGGTTTTCTTATTGAAGGGAAAGTCAAAACCACATGATAGGAGATAAAGCGCGCGCCAACCGTGATAAGGCACGCGCGGTGGTTTTCTGTCAACTATTCTGTTGACTACTGTTCTGTCGACGGACACGAAAAAACCCGACCAACGAGTCATATGCAGCTCTGCTCTGAAGAGTGCTCACAGATGTTGAAAACTTCTTTATTATGTAAAATATGAAACAGCAAATGATGGGTATAAGCCAGTGTATCAAACAAGCACCAGACAAGCCTGTATATAAGCGCATACCCAGGCTTCACATCATGTCATGGGACTATGTTCCAGACTTACGAACACCGTACAGCTTAGGCAAGGCAACAGTGGGTGAAGGTGAACATTGGTATGCCAGTGTTAAAAACCTTTCTTTTGGGGTCAGACCGAGTAAGCTTGAAAATAAAGCCACAAGGAGTTCTATGTTTGAAACATGTTTGGATGCTAACGAGGAATCCGAAAGAGACTAGCAAATAGCTCGGTTAAACGATCACCGTACCAATGTGATTTTTGCTGGTGTTTTTAGTATGAAAGGGAGTATCAGAATATTAACTTTATTTCCTCTCATCACTGAACAAACCAATTTGTAACTTTCCAGTGTCACCGGGATACACCTGCCTAATTTTAATGCACTAAAAGTTGATGCTACAGATATGTTGCATTGTAAAAATAACAGAGCAAAAACTTTTTTCTTAATTTCAGCACTGGTAAGCCCTCTTATTGCAATACCACAAAGGCTTCAGACAATTACATACAGTCCAATAAAAAGATATGTTGTAAATTTAATAGTACGAGTCGAAATAGCGCACACCTGGATTTAGTACTATGCACTAGTAATAATATCTATCTCAAATAAAAACTAGCACAGCAGCAATGAGTCACTTAATGCAAGTAAAAGAGCTTCTTTCTTCCACATGATCATAGTTTGTGAACTATGCTACCTGTGTCAGGGCCCAGTGTATGCAAGGGCACAGCCTTCATATTCATTCGTAAACAGAGGATCAATGTGACAACCTGGAGTACAGCACAAGTCATTCTTGGCAGTGGAATAAGCAAAAGCACCTGAGGCATCCTCTGCACTCTGGAATGTTATGCTTGAAATAGTAGAGCAGGAAAATACGTATTTCCACCACTAAATAGACAGGTCAAGCACAGGCCCAGAGTTGATTGGTCATTACAAGTTTAAAAATAAAGGTGCATGGTCATCAAGCCAGACTTGCACACACTCTTTTCACATGCATTGGTCAATTGTCATTAAAAAGTGGATATGTTTGCACACGTATGACTGCGTGGTCAGCATTTATCCTTTCCTGGTACATTTCGTCTTCATCCTCATATGTAATACATGCCTCAACCCCCTCTTTCTCATTTTTCATCTGTTATCATGCTGTCAAGAGGGCAGCCAGCACTGCACCGTCTCATATAGGCTCACGCTTAACTACAAGGTTGTCTCTAGCTTTCAGCTATTTGAATATGTTGTTTGTACCAATAAACTTTTAACTTTGAAACTACAACCTTAAAGGCACAAAAGATACGCTGCACTAGCAGATTCAACTCCTCCCACATTCTCATAAGAATGGGAATTATAATGAAAAGTTAGATATATAGTCACACACATGCACATAAACCTGCTTGAGCAACTTTTTCATCCAACGAATGTATGCTTACATAATGCTTTCGTAGCGCACAGATCATTTGGATTATTGCGCTGCTACAGTGAAAATATTTCACCTAGAGCAGCCGTGCAGCTTCAAGAAGATTAATGATAAAACCTTGCAAGAATTAAAAGGAATGTATAACTGCATCTAAAAAATATACAGCTCCTAGACAGAGCTCCAACATTTGAAGCATGGACGGAATGTTGTCTTAGAAGAGACATTTTGATTGTATGGCGTGATATGGTAGGTACACTCTTTCTGCATGACCCATAATAATTGTAAGCAACCTAAAAAAATTAGACGTTTACAATTCTCTGTAATGCCGAATTAAAGTGCAGCTTTTGAGGTGGAGCAGGGGAAGGTGTGGAGAGAAGGGCATGCTCTTCCGCACCCTCCCCTCCTAGTCTGCTGCCCTCCCATTTAGCAAGAGACTTTAGTAAAACTTACCGCTAAATTTGGCGAAAATTTTTCCGCTAAATTTAGCAAGGAAATATTTCTGCTAAATTTAATAGGAAATTTAGGAAAAATTTTCTCGCTACATTTAGCAGGGAGACTAAATTGGTTTGAGGTCACGTGACGTCAATTTCCCTGCTAATTTACCGGGAAAATTTTTACCCTTAACTTACCGGGTGAACTTCCCTGCTAAATTTAGTGGGGAAATTTTTCTGCTATATTTAGCGAGGAAATTTTTTTGCTACATTTAACGAGAAACTTTTTTCGCTAACTTTAGCGAGAAAATTTCCAATAAATAATGCAACGTGCACGGTTACGCCGACGGCGACACCGCTCAAACCGGAATCGGGCGCCTAAAAGCTGCACTCTAAAAGATGTTTGACATCAGCTCCAATCTCAAATTCAGAAATCTAAACTATGCGACATTAGATGATCTAGTCACGAAGTCCACTTCTAGAGCAGCAGTCTTTCAATAGAGGAACAAGACACCAACAAAACTTCATGGCCCTCCTTGCAATAGAAGGAGCAGTGAATACAAAATAGCTACAATAAAGAAATTAGTCTTCCAAAACTTCTTGCACATCCTTCCCTACATCCATATACCAAACTTTCATGTAACAACAAAAACTAAAAATCAGATCAAACATCAGAGTCAGACGTCCACCAAAATGGAACGCTTAGGGAGACGCAGATGCCAAGGAACTTGGTAGAAAAAGTCCCTCGTAGACGTCCAAACCGTACTGACCACCACCGACAAATTAAAACAGAACGACCTTTGGAATAGGGTCCAGGGTAAAACAAGATCTACACTAATGAAAAACAAATCTGCTCATTAAAAAGAAACAAATATTGTTCAAGATGATGCACACACACGTGACGAGGATGTTGATATCAACCACGGCGAAAAGTCTAGCTCTGGTCGAGTCCCGCAGTGAAAAGCACCCGCCAAAATGAGGCGTCGGAACGGTAAAGGCAACGACAGGCCGTAAAGCCACCCCGCTCGCTTTTGTTACGGGGCACTGGCAAAGAGTGCTCGAAGCACTAGAAGTAGTGCCACCAGGGCGGCGCTGGCGGCGATTGAAGATGCGGCTGCAATGCGACACTTGAGGGTGTCGTACTTGCTCGGATTGTCTTCGATTACTTTCTCAAACTCTGCCTCCACAATCTGGCCGTCGAAGTAGGTGATGGGGTCGTTGTAGGGGTACTCGTACCCTTGCAGACACTCGCACTTGTAGCCGCCAGAGTCGAAGCCGCGGCCCAGGATGGGGACACACTACGCAGGAAGAAAAGTATGGGTCATAGATTTCTTCATTTTTATCCACTTTTCAATTGAGCAAAACAATGTCTTTACCCCAGTGTCGGGCACCCCGGACATCAATTTGTGACGGTGCTACAAACCGCCAGTTCTTTAGCTGTTCAGCTTAGGGGATACATAAACCTAGATTTAAAATTTTTCGAAGACATTATTTTTTTTTTAATTTTTAGGTTTTTAAATTTTAGAAACTAATCATGCACCCTTACACTAAATTTGGTAACCATACTCCAAATGCTTACGTTGATATAAAATATTTTAAACACATTGTGAGGCAATAACAAAGTAAAGGGGTTCAATGTTTGAATGCATTTTTCTTAGTTCCACTTTTGCTGCAAATTTCATAAGGAATCTTTTGTTCCAAGGTGGAAGTATATATTCTGACACCTCAACACAGTCGAATCGCGTTCATTCGAACTCGGGGGGACCGAAAATTTGTTTGAATAAAGCAAAGTTTGAATTACCGGGAGTTTCCTCCCACAGAAACGCACACGATGGGACCTGCATGTTAGTTTGAATTGATGAAACAAACGCAGATGAAGCATATGATTTGTTCTTGAACAAATTTAAAAAAAAACTATATGAAAGCTGCTTTACGTATAAAAAATTAAGCACTCATAGAAAAAGTCGTAAACCATGGATTACAAAACAATTGCTCACGAATATTCGTACTAAAAATGTGTCATATCAAAAATTTGTAAAAACAAAATCAATTGAACTAACAAGTATTTAAACGTTATCGAAACCAATTAAACAAAGAACTCCAAAATGCTAAGAAAATTAATTTTTGTGACTTTGTTCTTTCTTCTAATAACAGAGTCGACGTTGTGTGGAAAAAACTAAACTCTGTATTGGGTCGTTCGTGCGCCACGAAACAAGTTTTAAAGATCAGCCATAATGGTCAAGAGCTGTCAGGACAAGCATTGTCAGATGCGTTTTATGACTCTTATGTAAGTCTTGTTAAAGAACGTCCAGAGTTAGATGCTTGCAAATATATCAATGCTCGAAATAATCAATCCATGTTTCTTATGCTTGGAAGAAGAGTGTGTTGGTCCATGTTTCTTATGCCTGTTACGGCCTCAGATGTAATATCTGTCTTTAAAGGGAAGATGGGGCACTTCTACATTTGAGAAAAAACGCTTGAATTGCGTTCATTTGGCCTTTAGAATAACAGATATCAAAATTATATTTCAATGCGACGCGCCGGAGAGCCACAAGAGCAATTTCAAAATAGGGCTGAAGCCCCGCCCCCCTAGCCTTGGGCAGCCAAAAGAGCCGTCGATGACGTCACGGACAGCGACAGTCTTTCGCGTTTTTCTCGCGTTTAACAATACTTACGCAGCAAATGGTTTGGGTATTCGGTTTCACGGGGTAAAAATACACTAGAATTCACTTCTAACTCATTTTTTCCAAGAAGCTCCGTAGCTTCCCTTTAATGTACTAAAAAATAGCCAAAGTTGCGACTCTGATGGATTGCAGATCAAACCAGTTAAATATGTAATTGATCTTATTTCTCTTCCCTTAGCACACATATTCAATCTCTGTTTCATAAACGGTGAGTTTTTTGTCAAATGCAACTAGCAAAGGTAACAGTTTTATATAAAAAAGGAAATAAAAACAAACTGGGCAATTATCGACCTGTTTCAATTCTTTCTGTTTTCTCTAAGGGTTTAGAAAATGTCATACTACTTCAAATAACAACATTTGCTAATAATAATGACTTAATTAGCGCATCGCAGTTTGGTTTTCGAAAACATTGATCCACAGAACTGGCTCTCCTTGCGCAAAAAGAACATATACTTAGAAATTTTAAAAAAAGGAAACTCACTCTCGGCTTATTTGTAGACTTTACTAAAGCGTTCGACTATCTAGATCATAATTTGCTACTAAAGAAGTTAGATATGTATGGATTTTGTGGTCATGTATCAAAACTTCTATGTTCATATTTATCTTCCCGCAGACAGCATGTTCATATAGACGGCCACTCATCTGAAATAAAACCGATTGAATCGAGGGTTCTCCAGGGAAGCATTCTTGGGGAACCCCTGCGAATGCAATGTACATATAAATGATATCGTAAATATTAGTCACTCAACTCAATTTATTATTTATGCAGATAATGCAAGCTTATTGCTTGATGGTGATGATGTGTCAGAGCTTATTGATAATGCGAACGAAACACTAGAAAAGCTTAATAGATGGAACAGACATAATGCATTAAAAATAAATGCCGTTAAGACTAAGGCAGTTATATTCCAACCTAAGAATAAACATAATATTACCAAGAATATTTTTATAAATTCTTCTCAAATAGAAATAGTTCTTGCATTTAAAACTTGGGGCGTTATTTTTCAAGAAAACTTATCATGGGACGACCATATTAATCATATCATATCAAAATTATCTAGCATTGTCGGTATTCTATATCGTCATAAACACATTCTACCACTTAGAACAAAGTTAATATTATATAATCCATTATTTTTTTCTCATTTAAATTATGGTCAACTCATGGGGCACTACTACCTATACCAACATCCACAAAATCTTTGTTACAAAAAAAGATATTAAGAAGTATCTCTAATCTGTGACTAGAACATCCAACTGATGATCTTTTTAGTAAAATTTGTGTGATGAAAGTTTTTCATTTATATAAATATTGTTTATGTGCAAGGTATAAAATAGAAACAAATTTATCCCAATATCACCTTAAAAACTTAGCAAAGCTAACAGATAAAATTTATAGATACCCAACACAAATTAATGAACCTTGGGAAGTACCCTTTTTTAGAACAAACTACGGCCACCAAAGTTTAAAATATACTTTGCCGACTACCCTTAACCAGCTTAGTAGGCAAGGCATTGAGCTTAGCAATATATCGGCGAGCATCTTACGGGAAATGTTTAGTTCAAATGTTTATTTCGAGCCAAATTGTCCGCAATAAGCGCTAAAATCTCTTGAATCGATGTTTTCTTTCGCGTTTATTTCAGTGATGCTCTAACGTTCTGTGCATGTTTTCACTATTGTGTAAATTGTATCAATATGCTACTTATCTTGTATAGCGTTAGTTCTTTTGTAAAGTTTCTCAAACATGTAGTACACATATCATGTTTTATTTTTGTACAAGTCTTTGGTGAATGCATCGCGACTGCTGGTTTAGGTGGCTCGGGGCTCGTCAAACTGTTTTTACAGCTTTTTTTCCCATGCCGCCCTTTCAACAGTTTTTGTTTTGTAGGAAAAAATAAAGGTACTATTATTATTATAAGAGAGAGTGAATCACCGAGATTAGACTATAAAGATGTTTCTGGACTGAAATTTACCGAGAGTTGCAGGAAATTTCCCGCAACTCTCGGGGCGTCGCCCCAGTCAATCCCGGTACGATTATTACCGCGACTGTGTAATTGATTTGCACGGCACACAAGTGCCGGTTTCGGCTGAAATTTGGGCAATGTGGTCCGAGACGTGCCTGCAACCCAGTTCAATCACCAAAAAGATGTCCGAAATTGCCTTCATTGTCCCTTTAAACAAAAAAATGTCTTTTAAGAATTAGTTTCCCTCGAAAGCCCCAATTCCTGCGCAAGTGCCTCTCCAAACGGGAGTTTCGTGTCCTCACCCTCGAGGAGCGCCGGTCGCACTTGTGGGTGTCCTGGAATGCGTTGAACTCCGAGTAGGCCTCGTAGTCCGGGCACTGGTTGATGTCCAGCTCGTTGATGAGCATCGACACGCTCACAACACCCCTGCAGGCAGCACAACACGCCACACTCTGACCCACGGCGCTGGTTGTGCCCCAAAAGACCTTTCTGAAACTCGCAAGTTTTTCACACCGCACTAGGGAACAAAAGTGGCAAGGCAGGCGAATTGGTTCATAACTTATAAAGTTAAACACTCTAATAATGAACAAGGAGAACAAGGAAGGCGAACAGGACGAGCGCTAGAGAACATCTCCCTCTCTTAGCTTTCTGGAAATGGAACAGCTTACAAACTTCATTAGAAACGCAATAGAGACTGGCAAGAGAGGTCCGTTTGATCCGTGGAACGTGCATCGACGCACGACAGGAAAAACACTTTGCTCGGGAGTCGGAACGACTGAGAGGATTTGGATGCACAAACGAGCCCTCGGAACCCCCCGTTTCTGAGAAAGACGGCAGTGTTCCCACTGGGGCCACCTACTTGAACTCGAGGCGGTTGTGAAGGGAGTCCCATCCGAAGAAGGGGGAGGCGTAAGTGATGATCCAGTTTTTGTGGAAGCCCCTGCAGTCGAAGTAGGGCGACGTCCAGTAGCCGTGCTCCACCTCTGCTGCCTTGTACTGCAGCGGGAAGTGGTCGTAGTGGATCGGGCTGTGGCCAGACGAGTTGTACCTGGGTGGCAGAGCCGGGCGTCACCGTACTTGCACTTTTCAAGATACGAAGCAACCCAAACGAAAACAGGCAACACAGTGAAATCCACTTCCAACGATTTATCGCTTATATATAACGATCGGTTTCCGTAAACCGTTCTTGCGCAACGGTTGTTACGTCGAAATGCAACATAGTCGGGTCGGGCGACTAAGCGGGTCCCCACCTGATCTGGATCTTGGTAGTGTACGTGACCAGCTCGTCCATGTTGGCAGCCCAGCGGGTCTTGAGCTTGGCAAAGAAGTCCCGGTGGATGTAGTCTCCCTGGCGCATGCGGGCCACGTCGTCCACGAAGAAGCGCAGGGCATTGCGGGTCTTGCGGTAGGCGTAGGGCGCAAACAAAGTGCGGTTAGGGAACTGTTTGTGGTCGAAGTAGACGCCCACGCCCTGGATCTTCTCGTTGCCGATGACGAGCGAGAGGGCCTCGGCGATCACCTGGTCCGGGGTGAGGGAGCGGTCGGGCACCCGGAACTCGGCAAACAGCTCTTTGGGGTCCACGGTCTGGATGAAGCCCGACAGGAAGTTGGCCAGCCGCACGGCCGACCGGGCCTCGTTCTCCAACTTTTGGTCCCGGCCGTACGCTACGTCCCCGGACAAGACCAGACGCTCTGGGTGGTTGCGTCCCACCTCCCAGCAGTTGGACGGGGTCACCTGGAAGGGGGGGTCAGTGTCGCTATCGCGCCAATGTGCACCAGCGGACATTTCAGTTTCAATGGTAGGGGCTTGTTTCTGCACACTCTATATCGTGAAGAAAAATTTTAGAAACAGGTGGGTGGTACATTGAACCTGCTAGGAAGAATCTTGGAATTGCTGTAACTGCATTCCTAAGACATGAGCTCTCTTTTGTCATTGCAACGTCCTTGTGAAAACAATTCCTTTAGATCCATGTCGACGAGAGACTGGCGAATGATGCAATCTCGCATTCCGAAGGGAGAGCGAAACCGGAAATAAACCTGTGGGGATTTTTTCCGTCTACCCGGCACAACTCACCGACTTCATGTGTGCAAAGATGGTGTGGGGGTCGAAGTGTGCACCCTTGCTGATGTTGAGTATGGCCATGTGGTTGGCCTGCTTGCCGATATACAGGCGCCGGTCCTCTTGCGACAGCGGCAGCAGGTTCTGCGTCTGCACCATCATGTCTGCGCGCACAGGTGGCAGCCACTCAATTGTCTGGCCAAAGACTTGGCCAGAAACGGCATCAATTCTATCAATGCAAAACAATGGCATGCCACGAATATGTGGTCAAAGCTGCGAGTGTCCTCGGTGCATAAGTAAATGGGCACCGAGCATTTTTCTTGAGGAGCAGAAGAGACAGTATGTCCACTGAATGGTACTAGTCATTATATTCCTTTGACACTCTTAGTGTAGAGACTCTGTAGTCACGGTTAACACTACCTTCCGGAGGATATACAGTCAGAAAAAATTAAACAATAAAGAAAAATTTTATTAATGCTTTATATTGGTGGGCTTTTACTCGCTCTTGTAAGGTTCCGTTTGATAATATAAGTAATGGAAAGAACATAAAACACAGGGACAATCAAGAAAATTTCCCAACTGGCAGCAGACGTTTAATGACAACTCTAACGGGCCGGGGTTTTCCTCCCAAAGGAGGAGGAGGGTGAGGGATCCGTTGTCAGGGAAGGGAGAAGGGAAACCATAAAGCATGGAGGAAAAAGGGAGAGGGGGAGGAGAGGGGAGGGATGGAAGGAGCCTAACGAACTGGTGAAGGAGAGAGAGGGTGGTCATGGCTGAAGTTCAGGTAGAAGAAAGGCCAGGTCGGCCTTGGAGAGGGCGAGGGAACTGATGTTCGCCTCCCTCGCTTTCTCCGATGAAGGCCTCGAGAATTTTGCATCCGTATCTCGACTTGCACAAAGCCAACACGGATGTGGCCTCAAAGCCAGGGGAACGCGAGGCACAAGCTGCGACGTGTTCAGCAATAGGATGAAGGCTCAGGAAAGAGAGGTTTAAGGGTGGCGTTCTTTACTTGAGTGGTGCGCTACCTAACTCTGTCATTGATACATCGGCCAGACTTTATCCTTACCAGCACGCTCTCCATTCCAAGTATGTTCCTTTGGATTTTTTGTGCGAAATTAAATTCTCACCAATAATCACAAATGTAATTATACCAAATAAAAAAAAAATGCCGGAAACATAGTTTGGATTTATAAAAGTGGCTTTGTTTATTGTTTATTTTTTTATTTGCGACATTCCTCATACTCATCTGGGTGCCCGTCATAACTGCATTTTTGAGGTCTCACACTTGACCAGATTCTTCCTGGACTACTTGGTAACTCCATAGCCCTGTTACTAACTGAGCAAAACAAACACATCCCACCATCACTAACCCCAATAACAGCATGCCAAGCTTACATGAGGTGCTCAATTCGGGTGCCAAAACTATACTGGGTTTTCATATGAAACCCTTGACAACATTTCTATGATTTCTGACAAATGCAGAGTCACTCCAGAACATTAATTAGGAAGCCAAGGAGAAGACATCTTGGCCTCCAAGTAAATGGCCAAGTACAAATTTTCTCAGACACACACTACTGTGGCGGCTTCTTTGCAGAACTCCCTGACAGCTCTTTAACAATCTAAGGTTTGTAACATAAATTTACGAAAGGAAAGAAACAAACAAGCATCCACTTCCTTCAAGTACCCAATATTTATTGGTGTCGCTACCGGCACGCCAGGACATTGTCTGTGGGTTTTCAAGATAAGTACCATGACCCGAAATAAAGATATTCTCCCCGACCGACAAAAAAGAAACAGGGTAGAAATAACAACAGATACTAGTGAGCTTTCAACACCCTGAAAAACCTAGGCCAAGGAACAAAAAGAAGATGACACACAAAAAGGCCTCAAAAGCTTTTTTTTGTATGTGTTGTCCCCTTTCTTCGTTCCTCGTTCTATTTAGCAAATAAGACGTCCAATCCATCTGTTAAAGGGTAACTGCAAAGAAAAAAGTGATTTTTTAAACAGCCTTATTGGGACTAGCATGTCACAAAACAAATCTTCCGCGAAAAAACAAATTTTTTTAGCAATATTTACGCCACAGGATGCAATTTAGTCGGAGTCACAACCTCTCCACATTTGAAACTCCCACTCTTCCGACACGCGCAGAGTGGCTGGAATACGTCACTCTGTGACGTATAGCAGCCACAACGTGACGTATAATACCAACTTTGTGGCGCGCGATTTAAAACGGGCGAAATAGTTGCAAACTAAAATCAGTCCCGCGCAATAAATATTGCTCTAAAAATTTTTGTTTTGTTGGAAAAATTGTTTTGTGACATGCTTGTCCCACTTAGGCTGTTTAAAAATACACTTTTTTTTCTTTGCAGTTACCCTTTAATACCATTTCTGCTTACTAAACTTCCTAAATAGCTACTTTCCAAAAGTCTGTCTACCCACCCTGTCCAGAACCAAATCTGACGCTACGGACCAATGCTCTAATGGCAGCATTATGCATCTCCTCTACAACAGGAAGACAAATGTCTCGGAAAGCAGAAAGCACGGAATTGATTTGAGCAAATTGGTCCTTGTACGTTGTCATTGATTCACGAAGGTCAAGGGTGCTTGAAATTAAGCGATCTTGTTCTCATATCACCGCCGTTAGTGCAAAAAAATATTGGAAGTTTCAAAACTGCCCCCAGACAGCACGGATTTTTGAAAAGGGTCCATTCCGAGACCTCCGAGGTGTTCCCGGCGCCTCGAACGAGTGCCAAGGCCCACTCACAGCCAATCTTCTCGCAGTTGTATCCCTTCTTGTACTCCTGGTCGGTGGCCCTCTCGATGAGCTCCCCGTGGAACGGGTTGCGCACAATGCGGGGCCGCCGCCACCCCGGCCGGCAGCGGCACTGGTAGCCTCCCCGACGGAAGCCATAGCCGTTCACCGGCTCGCACTGCGGGCGAGCGGAAAGCCATGCAGCCACGTAAGCATAAACCGCACCAAAAGTAAGGGTGCAAATGAGGTGGTGTAAATTAAACATAGTAATTACAACGAACCCCGAAACTAAGGCAAGACAAGGAGAGCACAAACATAAAGTCTCAAAACGCCACGTTTTTGTGTTCGAGACTTCGTGTCTTGACGTCCTTCTCTCGACTCGGTCCTTGGGGTTCCTTGTAATTATGCATTACTGTATTATCCCAAAAGACAGCCCCTTCCAACAGCGTAAACTGAAAGAGTTAAAAAAAGGGAACTGGCAGTCTTTCAGTATGTGACCCAAAAGGCTCGTGAAAATTGCTCAACTTGGGTCCTTGCTTGCTCATACTGTATGCATTAGGAGCCCTAGACCACTTTGTTAATGATGCTACAAACACTAACGGGACAAACTGAAGTGCGTGGTTAATTCTGATATATGAATGATCGGCTCGGTAATATCTTAAATGTAGCTGAATTGCAAAGGCACTTTACACTCCCGCCCAGAGTTTTTAGTTGAGAACCCAAGCGGGGCCGCCGCCACCCCGGCCGGCAGCGGCACTGGTAGCCGCCCCGACGGAAGCCGTAGCTGTTTACCAGCTCGCACTGCGGGCGAGCGGAAAGCCGTGCAGCCACGTAAGCATAAACCGGTTGGTATGATACACGGATATGCCCAGTTCTACGCTGGGTCTTGCAACAGTATTATGATGACGGCTCGTTGCTTGCGATAAGACTTCAAAATTATGAATGTCTCCTTCATACATCTGACAACCTCGTGGGTTCACAAGGTAAGCTCTTTAAAACAACTGCTGGTCTCCTAGTGGAGAATAATTGCGCCGTTTGCAAGCATGGCAAACTGATTTCTTTCATTTCTGCTGGCTAAAAGCCAGAAAATGTGAGAGTCTCTCAGCACTGCACCGATTCCGACTTCGTTTCAAAGGATTAATTACTCGAGGATAATGTCCTGCACTTCTGTAGTCGTTTTTTTTACAGTTCTTCATCTCTTATGTTTTCTCTGGCAAAAAATGTTTGGCTTTGCAGACTAAAAGACATTGCGACCCCCATTTGAGCTAAACGAGCTATCTCAACTCATAATAGCCCACTTACATTGAACATTGAAACAATAAGGAAAAATATGACAACAAAGTGCCTCCTAGAAAATAGGAATGAAAATTAGTTTCTCTTAGCAGTTTAATGAACACAATTCTTCTGCAGTAAAGTAAACTCTCGGAACGAAAGTGGAATGAGCAGCTAAGTTAAAGAAAGCCCGTCCGCCTGTTTTCAAAAGTCCGGCGCACATTAAAGTAGATAAGTTATATTCAATCTCTCTTCAAGTATCAAAGGCAATTGTGCGATGGTTTAATTGCGATTCCACGACCCAAGCTTATGAAAGACTCAAAAGCAAGGCTCCAGATCATTAGCCCCATTACAAGCTTATTCAACTGCACCGCTACGAGGCACATCAAGGAAGCTGCCGCCAAACGTACACTGCATTAACTAGTGGCAAGTGGGAGACTGCTGACCGACCTCGGTGGTGTCGTTCTTGCAGCGCGACGTGCCGGCAAAGTAGTTTGGCCGAGGGTTGCCGCTTCCGATGGGACACTGGTTGATGTCCAGCCTCTCAAAGTCCATCTCCATCACAGCTACGGCCACATACCTTGGAAACAAAAGCAATTGCATGGGCTTATGTTGACATCTGAGTACTGCGCCACAGCATCCTGCTTGGACATCTTTCACTCATTCTTTGCCCCACCAAGTTTACCCAAGGAAGCTGGGCTCCACATGTTAGACACGTGGAGCCACCTTTTGCCAATGACGAGGACTATGGTTTTACAGGTTTCTATCAATCCCTTTTTCCATTTTGTGTCACAGGCTCCCCAGTCCTATTCATGAAAATCTCATGCGTGGCGCCATTAAGTTGCTTTGCAAGCGAGAAGAGAATACTTTGAGAGGGCCCAAAGCTTTCAGAACAATGCAAGCAATGTATCATTCATTTTTTTTTTATTGTTTGTTAAATGTGTGCGGTTGATGCTTGCCTTCCTATGTTCTGATAATATAACGCAGTTTCTCTTTTCCCAATGGTAGAGTTCATTAATGCTCATATATTTCTGCGTACATGAGGAATTGATTTCCTACAAAAACAATCGTGAACCACGACCACTCTCCTGTAACAATACCCTTTGGGCGCTGCAAGATAACCCAAATGAATGAATAAATAAATGTGCCTCAAGGGACAAAGAAGCTGCTGGAGGGCACACTGGAAGTGAACCGCTCACTTTGGGATCTCGATGTGGCGCCACTGGGTGTGACGTGGGTAGATGTCGGGGATGGGTACCGTCGCCCCGTAGGTCCACTTGTTGGAGCGGTCGCAGTCAAAGTAAGGACGCGTCCACTTGACCGGACCGGGATTGTCGGACGCGGCTATAAAACAAAAAAAAAAGTACAATGAGCCGAGCGCAGCAAGACAACACTCGCTGCCAGGAGGCGTTGTTGGTCAGTTCGAGTGCTGCGATACATTTTTGTGTACAAAACCAGCACATCTAAAGACTGGTTCACACATTTGCGTCTGAGTGCGCTCGAGTGTGTTGTATTCCCTCGTAACCACTTAATGGGCTAGCACACTGGCGCCATCTGGCAACCCCAGAAACACTTTCGACTGCATATATACCAACGAAAATAATCCCTGGAGAAGGGGAACAAGGGCAACAGAGGACAAACATAAATCTCAAAACACAGCTAGGTGACTGGTACGAGACTAAAACAATCCGCCGGGTCACGGTATCGAACCTAAATTTCCAGTGTCCCCCCTGTTCTCCTTCTCCAGGGACTATTTTCATCATTCTGGTACAGGTTGCATGCAACTTTGTATTAATTGCATTATCATCATAAACTTAAAATGCAGGTCGTTCACCCTTGTTGGTGTTAGACCGGCGGCAGCTGATAAAACCCGTTTGCTCTACTGACGTCTAACTCCTGGTTAGCTCAGATGGTAGAGCGCTCCACTGGAAATGGAGAGGTCCCTGGTTCGATACGAGGACCAGGTGGATTTTTTCAGTTGCAAACTAGTCACCTAGCTGAGTTCGGAGATTTATATTTGTCCTTTGCCCCCCTTGTTCCCCTTCTCCAGGGATTATTCTTGTCATTCTTGTCCAGCTCACTTGCACCTTTGCACTTTCACCCTTGAAATAATTTTAACAGTGTTATAAGAAACCATTTCTCATATATATTGCGGAAGAATTGATTTCGCAAATACTGCAAAACCTTTAGCCTAGTCATACACAGGCCGAAAGTATTCCGAGTGCTGTCTAACAGATGGCACTGGCATGCCAGCAAAGGTAGTGCAACGCACCCTGGCACACTTAAATGCAAATACGCAAACCAGTTTTAGGTCCTGGCGAAACTTGCCACATAAAATTACTTTAAATCATCATAAATGACAATAATATTCTTTCCTAGGGATTGCCACCAGCTCATTTTTATATTTTACATACTTACTATTAGAAGTAATTCATATTTCAATGGTCATCCTGTCAAGAAACCCCAAGTGGACCTCCTGTGTTTCCTCAATACAAGGCAGACAGAGTTTCTAAGGCTCGCGATAATTCAAAACTCGGATATTTCTTACTCCTGGTTAATTCAAACTAATTTCAAAATTTTGGTTATCCCGCTATGTTTTTAGTGTATTCATAAGCCGCTTAATTTGAATGGCGTTTTCATGTAATTCATACCTTTTGTTCTCGCAGCCCCGTTGAGTGCGCTTCTTAAAGGGCATCGGTGCACTGCAGAGGTGACACCCGCGGAGCTTGCTTCCGCGGGTGTTGCTTCTCCACAGTACACCGGTGCTCGGTGAGAAGCGTACTCAACAGGGCTCAAGCGGACACATAAGCTATGAAAACGGGTGCCACGCGAAAATTGTCATAGGAACTTGCGCCGATGCTGTGATGTGGAGGCATGGCATAGGTCCGTGCCACAGTGTCCGTGCAAGTTTCTATGAAAACTGACATACGGTGCCCATTTTCATCAGTCATGTGTCTTGGCCTGATGAACAAACTTAATTTTGTTTTCAGTTGTCATGTGCTGTTTAAACAGTCCACGATAAACAACATTTTTGGGAGATAAATAAAGTTATGTCATACCTTTCACAATTGATTCATGTGTGGCATACCTGGTTATGATTAGTAGGTCCATGTAGAGGAAATAATCAAATATCTGTTTTGTAAGTGTAGCCCTTCATATGGCAAATCACAATTCTATCTTGCATCATATTTAGATGAAGTTCTGATAATTCAAAGTTCTGATAATTCAAACAAAATTTGTGGATTTCTGGAATTTCAATTAACAAGAGTCTACTGTATTTTGGGCCGACGCTCACCGGGGGGCCCGTGCCAGGTGAAGGTTTCGTTGGTGCCATTGTAGTGGGTGATCTGCACGGTGTAGGTGGTCTTGGAGTCCTGGCGTTTGGTCAGGTCGGGGAGCCAGTGGTGGTACCACTCATTGATGCGGTACTGGTCGCTCGAGTAGTTGCGGCTAGGTGTGTCCAGGGGTATGGCCCCCAGGTCGATGGCCTCGATCGTGTTCAGTGTCGACGTCCCCTCCAAATGGTACGGGTCGTTGAAGTCATCCGCCCTGTTTAAAAGCATCGACGCGCTTGCTTGGTGTTCCTCAACAAATGCAACCACTCAAGAGAGCAATGCCAGTTCGTGCAAAATTGAGCTTGGCAATAAATCTGCAGTACCTTTTGGCTGGAATATTAGAAGCATGTGCACTTTAAAACAGGGCTGACGTGAGCCAGAGGGCTGCAGGGCAGTAGCGGAAGATTAGTCGAGAACATTTCAGTCGCTGCTAACATTCAGGGACCTCGGAGAGCCACTGACTTGATGTCACCATTGGGCTCTGAATCCACTGTGTAATAGTTGCCTTTATGTAGCAAATAGAGGTACCAGCATTTTACATAAATGCAGTAATGTGTATGAATATTTTAATGCAGCTCATTTACTCTTATGACAGGAGAAGAGGACAGCATTGATGCTTCCATGACTTTTTCACACAAAACACTTGTCACGACACTTGTCTGCTGTGATGACAACGAACAAGATTATAAGTCTGCTGTCTAAACAGCAGACTTGTGATCTTTAAATGTTCACACCATTTTTTTAAAGAGAATAGCCGTCTTCGGTTTAGGCAAATTATTCAGCCAGTCATGCAAGGAAAATGAATATCCACATCATTTATCTTGTCCTGAAACTCAAGATAGGCCATGTGCTGCACAACTGAAGTGTTATCAATGGCCATTATAAGGAGCTTCTTTCTGGTAGCTGTTTTCAACTTGCTCTATTCCTAGCATAAACTTAATTCCAAAAGAAAAAACACTTCAAAGCACTATGAACCCTACACTTTCATAAAGGATGTTCTACTTGTTTTGTCAATTTATTTAACTGCTACTCTTACTCATACCTATTTTTTGTGAATTTGGATTTATTAAAAAAAATGTCAATATTCGAGTATAGATACATTTGATATAGAATAGTTGGTGCCATTTCTAAGCCTGTCAATCTCTCCACAACTATCATTTATTTTTTCTCTCGCTTTAATAATAAAAATCACAATAAAAAAAGAAGAGAAAAACTTACAGGAGATCTTTTTAGTAAAGTATAGGGATGGTGGCATTGAGAAGACGCCCCACCGGTCTCCTTGCAAACTTCAAACGATTGACAAAGTAGGGGCTTATTGCCAACATCCGTTCGGAACCATAACAACCTATTTAGACATATGATTGTGCAAGTCACTGTTCCAGGCTCAGGCCTCTCACAGGAAAGAGGAGGCAGTGTCTATATAACAGTGAAAGCTACAATCCCATAGATTTCTGTTAATATAGCCGACAATTAAAAATGCTTTTGTAACTTTTAATGCATTTCTGCATGGACATTTTCTTTCTCCATTCACAATTTTGGAGATCTACAAAGAAAACAAAAATTAAACTCCGACAAAAGGCGAATTTCAAAGACTTGGGGATTTCGTGCAAGTTCCAAGAAATGCCCAATATGTGATAGTAACACACTCTGAAAAACACCCTAAAGATTGTACCAAAAATAAGCTGACACTCGGAACCCTACTCATAATACACCATCTCTACCCTAGGTGTTCTTTTACTTCCCATTGATCTGTCAATGGAAAGAACCTATGCCGAGCTTGATTTGTGTTTACATGACCGGTGCTATGTCTTAAGCTTGAAGTTAATACATTAAATTTCTCCACCCTGTACATTGCACAGGGTTTGCAGGAAGTTTCCTCTGCCCACCTGTAGGCCCGTGGTGCAAAGAGAGGCATGGTCTTGTTAAAGAAGCTCTTGTAGGAGGGGGTGAAGGACATGTTGGGGGCATAGTAGATGGCACTGCTGTTGAGGAACCGATTGGCTGCCACGTCCGCAATCACCGACATGAAGTAATACATGAAGCCAGGCTCATCGTTGTCCGCTGCCTTTTGCAGGATGTAGCTGAGGAAGAGCAAGAAGGCAGATTTTTTGGGTACTGCAGCATGTGCAAAGGGAGCAAGTGCAACGTATTCCCCCAAAACATGTATGCTGTTCTCTTTGCTGCAATAATGAACCATGCATCGCCAAATGCTCGTTATCCCCCCAAAGGTAGCTCTAGCAGTCCAAACCAAATGCCAAATATTTCAGAACTAAGCGTTATCTCATTAAAACGTTATAAGTGATTTTCTCAAAAATTTCAATGGGAAAATGGGACTTGTTTTCGCTTGTCTTCGGTAACTAGCACCAGTCAGCTCTATGTTTTCGAGAGCACCGTCGAACAACATTTTCCCATCGAAAATTTTAGAAAATTACTCGTGACTCTTGAATGAGATAATGAATGGTACTGAAACTTTGGGGTCTGGTTCAGACCATTAACAATGCATTTGGGGGGAGAAGAGCGTTCAACGATGCATAGAATACATTTTAGATGAAAAGCACCGTAAATCTTTTTTGGGGCACCTTGTACTGTATAGAGAAAGAGACCAGAACAACTCATTGAGGGCGAGCATCATTTAGATTTGTCAACGGTGAGGTAAGTGAACAGCCTTCTGAACGATTTCTTCACTGACATAATTTAACGCACCACATTTGTCCCGCGCTGGTGAGTGTTGGCTACGAGACGCAACTGTCGCACAGACACTGCAATAAAAAATAGAACTGCGATCCATTTTACACTTTTATTTATTTATTCATTCATTTTACCCTCAGGGCCAGAGGCACCTCAGAGGGGAGTGGTGAGAGAACAAACAAGATAACAGAGGAAAATACACAATAGTTAAACAACAGGAAATATGTGGCTTTGAACAGTTTCACAAAAAAGAATGCAATCAACTATTGATGAAAGCGACATAGGTAGACGATTCCATTCATTCGAAACTCCAGGGATAAATGATGCAAAATATTTGTTATAATTGGTGTCACTAGGGTGTCACTAGGGTCAGCAGCACCCAGTGTGGTGGCCCGTTGCGAAACCCTCCCCCCACCCCCCCCCCCCCCCCCCCCTTTTTCAGTGCCTAGCTGCACCTTCCCGAGCACTGCAACCAAGACGGTCCCCCCAGGCCCCGTCCAGTGACCAGGGACGGCGCCAGGATTACCATAATGGGGAGGGCGTGAGGAGGCGAACCAAGTTGGGGGGGGGGGGGGGGGGGGGGGGGCATGCATGTCTTTTCGCATTAATGGTTATCATAAGGCTAACAGAAAGATAATAAGGAACGAGAAACAATTGCTGAATCGAACTGGGCATGGGCATTGTTTAAAGCTCAGTTTATCTTTTTACACATATTTACAGCAGTTTTCATACAATTTCACTTTTGCAATATTCACCTCTATTTACAATTTTATATGCTACTAGTTCAAAGTTTCCTGCATTTGCCTGATCCAGGTGTGAAAAAAAAAAAAAAAAAACCGATGGTGGGGTAATTAGATGATTTTTGAGTACAGTGTTGTGATGAAAAATTCTGTGAAACAGACAAATACAATAAATTTTGCGGCAATGTGCGAGACTGGGTAGAAATAATGTGTTTTTAATTTATGCTACACTAGCAGTGTGATTGTAATTAGCCAGAATAAAATGCGGAAAAGAGAATGCAAGCGCATGGCGTCAAAGTGTTTATCAGGGTGTCTAGCAAATTATTATTTTGAAATTCCCTGACTTTTCCAGGTTTTCCCTGACAATTTCAGGTAAATTCCCTGACCACTGCAGAGGCAGTTAAATATGTAAGACCACATTACAACACAAGGCAATGAGCATTAAGCACTGAGAGGATCATTTTGCATGGGCTTAATCTAACTAGCATATACCAAAATATTTGGGTTCGTCAGGTCCGAATTAAGCGAGCACTTTCTTGGCGCCGACATCGTTAGTGAAGAGGCCACACAATGAAAACACGACACTCAAGCACATACGTTCTTAACCGAATGGCAGCATGGCCGCCGGATGCACAGTTTGGGATACTTTTGGCTTAAGGCTTGGATTGGATTGGGGTCTGCAGCTTTTCTATTTGTTACTAAATCTAGTAGCTCTCTAACTGCATCCGGCCTAGTGTCGCACCCTCAATCCAATCCAATCCAAGGCTTAGACTGGATTTTCCAGCTGTTTCCTTTGCATCGGGCGGTACACTCTACACCAAGTGAGCAGAGCCCACGCTCCACTCTAAGCAGAATGTATTGCCTATTTTTCTGCCCCCAAGTCCTCAAGCATTAGCTCAGAGCACTCGATGGCGTTTCCGACTCATTTTTCCTGACTGGGCTCGCTTTTTGACAATATCCCAGACAATTCCCCGATTTTTCCTGGTGATTAAAATTTTCCTCACAATTACCGGTTTTCCCGGTCGCAAGACACCCTGGTTCATTTTGAATGCTAGCTTGTGCACTGGAATTTGGAAGCAACTTCTAAACTAGATGTTTGTGCCCTAGTCTTGCCTAAAATTGAATTGTTATTTCGGATACTCTATCTCCAGTCACTGCGTGGTTCAGAGAGAACAGAGAATCACCACCCGACCTATAGGAAACCACATAAAAACAAAAACATGCGTCCAGATTAATTCGGCACTTGAGCCCCGTACAGTGGTGTAGGAACGAGGGGGGGGGGGGGGGGGGCAGCTATGCCATTTACTGGCCCAATATAATATTTAATCTCTGCGAGAGAATGAAAACACCAAGAAAGGTGTTTTATATGTGCATGAGCTCTGATCATACAAACTCAGCTCACATGCAATGCCCAATGTTAGTTGTGAACAGCATTATTATTCTAGTACAGTGTAGTGCTATCAGAGAAACAGAAAAGCACAAATGTGAATGCTTTATTGTCATGTGCATCGGCAAAATGAAAGCAATTTTTAAAGTACACGCTCATGCTTTCCATAAAGCTGTTTGGACCTCTTGAGGATGTCTACAGAAACATGCCCATCATTGACAAGCTCTTTCAGCAACTTTCTGAGGGCGTGCAGTCAAAGCTAGGGGCGACCATGCCTCTTCAGCACTTACACCGCTCTGCACAACCACCCTTCCATTTCCAATTGCCACAAGAAGTTGTCCCAGATTATATAAAAATGTCCGACAGAGAATCCACCATTCTGTGATCTGTTGGTTCGAGTGTTGTTGATAGTGCTTAAAGTCTCTACAAACTATGGTAAAGGGAGAGGGGTTCATATTAAATGCACACAAAAACAACTCGATTAAAATGGATATGTCACCCAGCATGTTCCTCAGGGAAGAAACAGACCAACAGCGCGAATTCCGATTATTTTTCTCATCAAGAGTTAAAAGGACACTGACACCACCAAAAAAATTTCTTTTATTTTTTGCCAGACGGTCTAATATGGTGTCAGAAGACTATGCAATCATTATTTTGCTACAATGTCACATAGATTTTTAATAAAGTCCAAAAACGCAACTGTTCGAAACCAAAACTGGACTGGGGAGGAACAAGAAATATAGAGGAGAAAGTTACCGGAAGTATGTGGCTGTGCAACTTTTCTTGATTTCAATCAACATATTTGCAGAATTTTAGAAGCAAAAAAAAAAAAAGGAAAATTTTTTGTCTATTCTTAGCATTGAGGCTGTACCTTCGATGACCCACGGCTTTGATTATCTTTGGTGGTTGTGTGTCTAAACTATAGAAAACCGGTGGCAATCAGTTTGTCGAACGACGTTTCATGGACAAATCGTTTCGTCGACACTGCGATGTTTTATGGACTGATTGTTTCGTAGAAACGAGCACGCGCTTGTTTCATCGACAGATGTTGCGACGTTTCGTCGACAGCTCGCTCCGCCAGCTGCGCCTCCTCGCGACCTCTGCGCCTGCGCGGCGCACGGCCTTGTGTTGGATGGATGGATGTATGAAAGATGGCCGACTGGGCCAAGTATGGCGAACCAGTGCGCAACCATCTTGCCTCCCCAACTTAAACTATCGCAATTTTTTTTTTTTTTTGGGGGGGGGGGGGATGGGGGGGGGGGGGGGGGGGCTCTCCGATTGCACTGATTTCGGAACTTACGATTTGAGTGGTTTCGCTCGTGTCTTTGCCCGAACCTTTGGGGAAGCGTTGTCAAAGCCGGAAAGTTTTGTTCTCGACCACTCTCCTTTCTCAAGTTATATTCTTAACATATTCAGCATTATGCGCCGCTCTTGAGGGCTACGCTTTCAGCGGCATACGTGATCGAGGTGTCTGTACGTCATGGAATACAACCCTTCGCGGGCTGGCCGCCGGCACTCCGATTGTTTTGAAAAAGTGACCGGGTCATTTCCAGAGCAAGCGTATCTTTCCGCGCGTCGAGTCTTTTGGCAGAATCCTCAAGAGCCACCTGAACATAGCATAGATAGTCCACACATCAAAACACTAAAGCTCTTAAAGAAAATTTGAAAGAATAAACGAGGCCTGTTTGCGGTGCACACAGCCTTCCTACCGTTGAAAATGGCATAAAATCGGTTTTCAAGCTAATTGGCATCTGGTCTTAGCCGCTAGCAATAAACTTTGAAGGAGACTGAGCATTTTCCCATGCGTGGTTTACTTTAGTGGTAATAAAACATGGTTATTTTATCCTCCAAACACTGGGTATTCAACGTACTGTACTTACCAGACCGCATATGATTTTTAGTCTTTAGCATATTTAGCTTCTGGATAATGAATAACACAATAGTTCTGCATATGTTATGCCTGTACTGAAATTTTGCATGCAGATAAACCAATATGTGACCAAAGAACATCAGATTTGGAAGCTGCTCTTTTACGAAAGAGCTACGACCTTGCCCCAGGTATCTGTCTGCTGGCATCGATAAAAGAACAATTTAATGTTGCGTGTGAGGACCAGTCGGCTGCTGCCGACAGATCTCGTCTAGTGGTACTACCGCCTCCAAGGCCTTGCATGTGGCGACTGCTCGAGGGAAGCTATATAATGCATTAAGATGCACATTCGATATCAACTATGGTTTACTTTGTGTAATACCACTAAACTTGGTGTACTGTTTTATTTATCTGTTACCAATTCTCGTGTTTATTTATTTATTTATTTATCTTTTTTTAGGTTTACCCGCGGGCAGCGTGCTCCCGGTAGTGCGAGTGTTATTGGTTTTTGTGCTTTTGTTATTTTTTTTTATTTGACATTGTTTACAGCCCCCTTCTTGTGTAAAGTCCTTTTTAATCGGCCCTTAAGGATAAATGACGATGAAACGAGTGTGACTAAACAGTTTTTTCGCGTATAAGTCGCAGTAGCCAGTAAAACACTGCATTACTTTTCCTTTTGAATAATTGAGGGTAATGAACATGCTTAACTCCACTTCAAATATTAGGGTTGTAATGTTGCAATAAAAGGCTGCAAGCTGTATTTTTGTTTAAAAACAACCAATATGAAGAAAAAAAAAACAGTGTTCACGCCCTTTTCCGCAACTCACCATTGGATCAAAGTTTTGCTTTGTGCCTACGCATATTTTTCTCCACCGCTTTTCTTCTTCCAGTAACTTTCGGTTCTATAAACGGGCATCGGAACTTGCAAATATCCGAATAGGCCGTGCGCGAAGTCCTGCGCGCTCTTGCTTTTCCATCTGACACGGATGAGAGCGAGAGGATAGCGCAGTTGCTAACCTTGGAGAGCAACTGCGCTAGGCATCGTCTTTTTCATCTGCTACAAGCGCATGTACCTTAAGTTTCCAGCATTCCTTTCAAGACCGCAAAAAAAAAAAAAGTTTGTCGACGAAACGTTTTACAATGGTGCTGTCGACGAAACGATTGTCGAAGAAACGTCACACTGTCGACGAAACGTGTGTCCATGAAACGTGTGTCCACGAAAAGTTGTCCACGAAACGTAATTCCACGAAACGAGTTTCGACGAAATGATAGGGACCCATAGAAAACGGCATGTGACCACGAAGATGAGAGTGAGCGCAACCCAAACTGGCTGGTTCTCAATCAGCAGTTTTTGGACAAAAAGAAAACGAATTTTTAGCCGCAAATTGTGTTCTGGGCAGTTGGGCTCTCATATGGCATGTACAAATAAAAATCTTGGCGCTTAAATACCCTGTCAGTGTCCCTGAAACTCACGAAATCAACATGGTTGCTCACAACACAGTTCTCTCTCTTTGACGATGGCTGCAACACGAAACTTGAATGGGAACATTCTAACACATTTCTGATTACAATGTGGAGTACTTATGATTGTGCTTTCACCAACGCCAAAGCTATGGCGGGGGGTCTCAGACCACCCCTCAAAATCAGCGGGAGGATGTCCGATGGGGGCATTCGCTCGCACAGGCCGCGATCGAGCGCAGCTCATACCAAAATCTCCCGAACCGACAATTTCAGAAACTGGTGGATTTCCCGTGAAAAATATTTGCACGAGACAATTCACGTGGAGCAACTTTGATTGCGATTTTGCGGCTGCGACGTCGGGCACCGCAGCTTCCGCCACGCTTGTTTTGCCGCACGAGCGACGTCGCAGCTGCAAAATCGAGCAAATCCGCACCATGTAAATCACAAATACTTAAAAAAAAAAATCACAAAACGAAGACACAGAAGAGCGAACTTAGGAATCCAAAGCTTGCGAATTCCGGAAACACACGCGTCTGACACCACCGTGTTTACATAACGGAAGCGAGACAACCCCCACGATTCTCGACCGATGTTTCAACCACAGTGGGTTCAACAACCCGAGATTCAAACTCGCATTTGGAAAACTTCTCGAGCGGCCGATACAGCCTCACTTCCCGTAGGGGACCGCAGCACTTAGAAAACGCGCGCGGAATGCTCGGCGACGATGCGTCAAGCCGAAACGATGCGTGCCTCTTTCCGTCGGCGGTTGGGCGTAGTCAACGGACTCACCTGAAGAAGAAGGCGCGCGAAATGGCCATGTTGTGCAGGTGGAGCAGGTTGGTCCGGTTGGGGAACACCGGGTCGATGTTGAGCCTTTTGATATTGGGCACATGAGTCACGGTGTCGTTGGGCAGGAACAACTGGTTCACATCGACCAACTTGCAGTTGGCGGCCGTCACCCTGTCCAGTCGCGTTCGGATCTCGTCAAAGCTGTCCCGCACGTGCCAGTGGAACTGGGCGAGCACGCTCACCACGATGCAGGCGAAGACGACGTTGGCGAGGATCTGAGGAACGCAAGCCATCTCGGAGGCAGCGGCGTTCGGTGTCACGGAATGCGCGAAAAATGCATAATCCGAAGCGCTGACCCTACACAACCGAACTGGGCGCCGCCATGTTCTTCAACGATGGGCGAGGCGGCAAACAACGTAAAAAAAATGCGAAAGTTTGGGAACCGGTTCGAACGTTGCGCGCCATTGGACGCTCAGGATGGCGGTTCTTTTGAAATGGCGCGTTAGTGGAATTTAAAGCTGAACCTTTGTTGACGTCGAATTAGCACTGCCTATGCCAGGAAAGACCGACAACAAAACAAAAACACTGCACGAGGTTAAATTGACTACTGCGATTCGCATTCTCCGCGCCATCCGTGCGGTGTTCGGGTGACCACGCTTGTCTACTCTTTACACGTTCCAGCGCGTACTTGAACATGACAGCGATCTTTTAGGAAAATCATCAGAGGTCTAAAGTGTCTGAACGGCAGATCGTACAACCCGTGTTCTTTTTGTTTTGTTTTTAATGACACGTTGTTAAGTTTGGCGACATTTTTATGAAAAAGTGAAGCCCTCTACACCAGCGGAGGATCTAAAGTCCCTGTATAGTAGGATCTACCCAGCAGAGCTATTCTTGACACAACCTATGGTGCTGTGCTGTGGTCTTGTATAGTGGTTTCTGATCGACCTGCGGTACACACGGTACCAAGCAACGTCGGCACGTTGGTACCCGGCAGTGGTACACGCGCATCTCGGTCGCTGCAGCGCAAGTGCGGCCGGTCACCGGACACCGGACGGCCATCTGGCCATCTTGCATGCGGCCATGCGGCGAAGTTGCGTTTTTTTCGTTAGCGTTGCAGAGGCTGGCGGCGGCGTACCGAAGACACGTTTTCTACTCGCTTGTCGTCATTCGCCAATTTTTTATTTTTTTTTTTCTGTGTATAAGCAGTGAGATTTGGCGTTGAGAACCCGTGAAAATATTTACGAAAGCGCAGTACAGCAGGAAAAAGGCACAACTGGCCGAAAGCAGTTTCGCCGGTTTCGCGGTCCAAACAAAACCATAGAGCTATTATAATGTACGCTGGAGGTTCAACTGGCGCTAGTGTCTACAGGGGCGGATTTACAGGGGGGGGGGTCCGGATGTCCTGACCCCCCTCTTGATTTCTGCATGTGTAAAATTTAGGGCGTGAAACGATAGAGAGGAGGAGGGGGTTCCTAAACATACGCTGGCCAACACCTGACCCCCCCCCCCCCCCCCCCCCCCCCCTCTCAGGAAACAAATTATTGCATCCGCCCCTGAGTGTCTATGACCAGTCTACTTTTGCGGTGCTCCTGTGCATTCCTATGGCAAAACGCGCGCGAACTTTGTCTCTTCGCCGGAAAATAACATGAATAACTTTTATTAGTTCTGTTGTACCAGATAGTATGTACCTTTATTAATATTGTAAAAGTGTAATTACTTTACTTACAACATTTTTCTTTACCACTGAACGATGTTACGCTTCGCTATATTTCAGGCCCAAACCTCTGTTCCATGGCAGGTATGTAAAAACGAGCGACGATTCTGAGCTAAATAACGGAATGCAGAGTGTGTTCAAGGTTCGCTAGCATTCCGGTGGTGCTTATATATAATACTGCTCATATGCCCGTCCTGTCACTCTATGAATATGACTCCGTCGTGCATCTTTGCGATCGGTTAAAGAACATTCGAATGTAAAAAAAAAAAAAAAAAAGTACGTGGGCTACGAAAGGTGTGTCTTTTTATTATTTCCTATGTCAGGCAGTTTTTATCGGGCACCTGCTCTCTGACTTTTCCATATTTGTAAAGATTTGGAGCGTGCGGTTGATTATTTGAACTCAGAACATGCATCTTCGCACATATTCATGAGCAGAAAGAATAAAGCAGTACTTATTTATTGCAAATCGTACTATATTACATGGCTTTCAATTTATTTTGATCGCCTGCATGCACACGGAGTTACTTATGCAGTGTTACTGCATAGTTTTTGCCGTCTCTCTTGGTTTTCCACATGTCCTTCGCCGACGCCGTGTTCGCGCTAACAGTGCCGACAGTGCACACAAATACATGAACGAAACGGTTTTGGCACCGTTTTTTATGCCACGAATTTCAAATAAAAACGCTGTATGACTGAAAAATGTTCCAATGTGCCTAGTACGCACGAAATATTCGTGATATTTGCTCTTGTAATCAAGCGAAGCAAGAAAATGCACTCGCTTTTCCCCTTGTTCCAATAGAAAAGTATTACCGGAAGTAGTTGGCCAGGGAGGAGAGTGGCATGGTTTCGGTTGCGATCGACACGTCGACAAGAGATTATGCATAGAGCGTGGACTATTAACGGCCGTTATCTCATGCTTTTTGGTCCCGAGAGCGTCATTTGTGGTCTCTAAACTAACCTAAATAGTCAGACCTCGAAGCTTTAGCGCAAGACCGAGACGTATAGCTTGTCTTAACACAAGTTTGTTGTATTTTTGTACTTGAGCCTTTTTGTTAGCGGTTCAAGGTATGTGGACGAGCCAGTGCTGGGAATCTCGACGCTGCGAAGCTCGGGGATCATGCTTGTGTACGAATCAACAAGCTGTAGCAACCAATAAGCATGCATACATCGAGCTCGCGCCTTTACATCAGTGTTGTTTATCAAGACGTTTGTTTATTTTCGTGCGTCCATAGACGAAAAATAACTTTTTGCAATTACAGATTTTCTTAATACGCCGGAGTACGCGAGGTAAACCTCTGAGGCGTTACTGAAAAGCTCAATTTTAACACACTTCTTATCTCTTATATCTGACCCGCTGCACTGCACGAAGCGAAATCCCCACCCACTTGCATTCCACTAATATTCAACATCGCGTATGCGCATAAAGTTATCCTGCAATCATGTAGGCACATTCGCAGATACAAACCGTTTTAAGAAAGCAAAAGTCGAGCACTTGTGTGAAATATGTCGCACCGTTCGTCGGAAAGTGCGCCGGACGGCCATGAACCCTTATGTGGTGCGCCAAACGAACGAAATTATTCAAAGCGCATTTGACGGTTGGTAATGGCCATAATATTTGTTATGTGTTTGCTTACTTCCTGACTGAGTATGCCGAGATAATTTCAGACACACCATTCAGGCACAGATCTTGGGCGTTAGTAAAAGCTCGTCCAACAAGACTTAGCGAGGAGTAGGGGACGCTTGTACCCTCTGGCGTAGCTAGCCGATTGTTTGCGAAAACTTAACCTTCTATCAATATAAAATTTGAGTGGGAGATATATGACGACACGAGGAAGGCATCATAGTTTTGCGCAGTAGTGAGGTCAAATTTATTGCTTTTCCTGAAAGGTTCATGCGTCAACGCTGGGCTCAACGTTGATACTCCTAGATGATGCGGCTTGCTTTTCGCCCAGTGAAGTAGCAAGAAGCGGACGCTTGGCAAACAAAACGCACGCAAGGCTCAAGGTGACCAATTGTCAGTTGTAGTTCACTGGTACTAGACGGTATTATTGAAATTGAGCTCTAAGAAGCACTCGTGGGGCGAGGTGACTAAGCCACGTCTTATTAAGTTTGCATACGGACGCACAATATCCGGTGTTTCGGGAACCAAGGAAAGTGCCCCGGTCTTCGTCTTGTATCGCTCGAGAATGAGTGCATTGTGCGTCCGTAAAAAGTCAGCTAATCGAAAATACAAGCAGCGCGTTCGGTCGCGGCGTGATAGCATGAGATGAAGCTGCGCAGTCAAAACCGAAACTGAGTGGCCAACTAGTTCCAACTTCCCAGAGTGCACTGCGTGGTATTTCGCCACGATGGGGCGTGTTTCAACGGTTTTTTGGTTTCAACGCGTCAACTTTCGGTTTTTCGTATTAAAGTTACAAAAAATGATCCCGATTTTAATTATTTATTTTTAAGAAATACATATTATTAACAATAAAAAGCTTGAAGCCAAATTTGTCAAAATATTTACTATTTCTGAATGTTGTATGGTCGGCGCATATAATTTCGTCTGGCAACAACAAAATCGAGCGCAATGGCGGCGGTGGACCCTCTGTCGTCTTCTCCGTCTTCTGGGATGGAAGATGCGGATTTACTGTATCCGGAGCTGATGTCCACCGAGGCTCTGCTGTCCTTATTCAAAAAGGTGCTACACGTTGAGCGCTTCCCGAAGCACATCGGATCAAATGCTCATCGAGTTTCAAAGAGCACCCGTAGTCTTCGCAACACGTTTTCGCGTCCTACTAAGCCGGGTGGGAATCGTCACTTTTCCCGTTGCCGCTGCTTCTCGGCTACTGTTAAGCACGCAACTTAATGCAAGCACGTTCAAACCTCCAACTGATTGTTGTACCACAGCCGTAGTTGTCAAAGACGTGCGTTTGCAGAAAGCGATTGCATATTAAATATTTGGGCGGGCTGGCAGGCGCACTTGCGTATTGGTTTTGCGTTTTAACGTTGCTGTTCAAGCTGGAACGCCATCCAGGGTAGTATTCTTTTTTTGCAAATAAATATTATTGTTAAATAAGTTGATCCACGTACCTATACGGTCCTACTCATATCGGGCGCAGACTTTTTTTCTTTTGTGCGTGAAGCATACAATTTTTGCCGTTTACACATTAAACCAACATGGGAAATCTGGACGTTAAATGTTAAAGCACACCCAGCGTTTGCACGCAACCGAACGTATTACTTTGTTTGACGGACCAAGACCCAGTGGAAAACTGCATTCCTTTCCGCAAAGCACACAGCGTTTGCACGCAACCGAACGTATTACTTTGCTTGACGGACCAAGACCCAGTGGAAAACTGCATTCCTTTCCTCAATGAGCCTGTAATGCAATCCCCGATGCAAATCCCCTTTCTTGCTCAAATCGGTTTTCGAGAAAATCTGATACACCCCTTCGTGTGACTGATCTAGAACTAACTTGCATGTGTCACATTCTGAAACAGCTGTCAAAATTGCAGTTAACTTCTCATGTCGAAAAGAAAACACGCACAACTGGATGACTGCATCTTCACCACAGCTTTTCAAACAAGCTACCCGATATCAAAGTTGCCAGCTGTCGTTTTGTGGCTCGCCTCTGCTCTACCTGCTACGGCTTCTTGTCAGTGTCTCATTTGTCATGTCAGTTGACAAGTGGCTCTCCTGCACTTCGCAACGTGTAACAATCTCTAGTGGAATCCTGGGAAAATAAATGGTCTGTGGGGACGTAGCTTGACACTGCCAGGTGACAGTTCCTTTGTGTGGTAGACCGCTCTAAAAATATTGCGTACCACTTCTGGCTGGTCTCAAACACTGGGCTCGTTCGATTTACCTGCACCAGCCTACATCGATGCGGAAAAGTGTAGCGCAGTACAGAAAAGTGCAGGTTAATGTACTTCTAGTATGTGCTTTAAAGTGGACTACACCCGTAAATCGAATATGGTGGTGTGCACAAAGTGTGGCTGATGCAGGAGTGTTAGGTGAATTGAATGCAGCATGTGTAAGACATACTCTTCTAGAAGCAGATGTAGTTGCAACTTGCATGAAATTGGATATTGTAGCCCACATTGCACCGCACACTATTTTCCAGTCTACCTGATAAGAGCGTGAGTTTGAGACCTTGAGAGAGAGCATATTGGTGTCACCATTATTGATCAATGTGGAAGCCAACATCCCGGGTAACCTTTTGTAATGCCGCTCAGCCTCTCATCTCCCCATTTCTCCAGAGACACGTGAGCCATCCTCGACTAGAGGAACTAGACAAGGACTCCCTGGTGAAGCTGTACCGGACAACGCTGCTGCCCTTGCCGCAGCGTGAATACGGGCAGAGTCGGGTAGGGAAGCGACTGGCGGCTTTGCAGAGCAGTGCCGACAGCCGCCACCAAAAGAGGAAGGCAGACTCGGAGGACGCTGTGCCATCGACTCGGTCAGTGCTTTCGATCGGTGCACATTAGAGTAAGAAAAGTGAACTTTTGTTTCTACGCTACAGGTGGGGGCGGGTGGGCAAACGTGACCCAGGAGCAACTAATGAAGACCTTATTCCAACCTGACGTTGTGGGGTAGGGTCAAACAAACATTCAGAGACCCCTTTGTATTATGGCTGGTTCACTCGTGCATCATAACATAAAATAAACACTTGGAATAGCACTGCTGCAGCGCTGGCTCAAACTTAACACTGAGAGAAAATCGTAAGGGTGCAGGCGAGCTGGTGAATATTAACCATGTTGAAATAACCTGAGACTGGGGTAGAGAAGAAGCATCAAAGCGTAGAAGGGACAGAATAATAGGACGTCGTCCTGTCTATTTTCTGTCCCTTCTACGCTTTGATGCTTCTTCTCTACCCCAGTCTCAGGTTATTTCAACATGGTTAACACTGAGGCAGCACTGTATCACTGATACAGCACAGAATCAGTGCTGCATCAGCAAGGTCCCTTGTAGTACTTTGATTTAGTTAGCTTCATTGCAGAGTTCAGAGCTAAAGCAAGATATACAGATTGAGAATCTCATTAAAGCTGCATTAGATATTTTAACTGCCCTGCAGTTTATAAAAAAATTATCAGAATTAGACCGGTGTTAATTCACTTTTGTCTTTGAGTACACAATGATCAGGGAGCCTGATCAGCTCTTTAAGCTTTGCGTCATTATCCTAGCCCTCTTGCCACTTCCTAATTAATCTCCGAAGCTCAATAATCTCGCACATAATTCGTATGGAGGCCAACGCTACATTACAGCAAACTCGCGTGTTTATTAAGGCAGTAAAGATGGGATAGACTCAAACCGCAGCATGCTCCAAAGTATCACGGTAATGCCCTCGATACTTCAATAATAATCTGCCATAAACGTTCAAGACAAATCGATTCCTTCACTTTAATCTCAACTTCCATCTGGCTGCCCCACACTGTCAACAAATACCAGCAGGCACCATAGAGAAGAAAATATGAATTATTTTACCTTGTGACCAAGTCACTGTACTTTTGTTGATTTCTCACAATTTCATGCTTCCATGAATTGAAGAAAGTAAATGTAGCCTAAATCACTGAGTTCACTTCATTTTTTTTTTTCATTTTTTCTGGATGAAGTTCAAGCTTTTTAGAATCATATTGGAAAACAAAGCAAATCAGCTGAAGTATCCCAGAACTCTCAAGATTTCAAGTAAAAACCTACACTTTAGTGCTCTAGGAATGTAGCTCCGTTCATGTCAATTTTAATCCGTTTTAATCTCCAAGGACTTCATTCTATTTCCTTGGGGGCGGCACCACACATTTGAGTTCCATCAGGTAAAACCGGCCACTAAAATGATAAGACTTTCTGGTAACCAGGTCCAGGTGGCACTTTTTAAAGCAGCCAGAATGTTTAAACCATGCTAAATTACATTCAGAACCCCCTGTTTTGGGTTAGCTATAAACAAAAGCAAGCTGTGACAGTTACAGAGTCCCTACAGTTTTTTTCCCCTTCTCCAACAAAACAGGGGTAGTGGAAAGAGCCATCCTCAGCAGAGTTCGAGGCTAAAGCCCCCTCCAAGCATGCAGGGGTCCAACGACACCAAACCCTCCAAGAAGGCCAAGACCCCCTCGATGGGGGAGGGCGACCAGGCCTGGGGCGCTTGGGATAAGCCAAAATCGAAGCCAAGCAAGGTTAGTTGCAAAGACTGCTAGCTCTCCCATGACTGCCTTATGTTTCTGCTCAAGCCCGCCAGCGCAATCACCGATTGGCTGCAGTGTGTCCGCGTCTGCCGCAGTAGCATGGTCATGAGTGTGCCCCCCCCCCCTCTCCCCTGCAACACCCCCTCCTCCCATGCTCGGCTATGGAGCTGGGTGTGAAGAGTGGGGGGAGGGGTGTGTCGCTCGTTGTACTTCCTTTTATTAGGTGCCATTGACGTTTCGTGGCAGACAAAAACCAGAGTGTGTGGCCGCTTTCTACATTCCCGGCACGGGGCACCTGCTTATAATAAGTGCTTGGTGAGTGGCGCCACCACGGACCCCGAGCCATGTGGATTTGCCTGCCCACGTCTGGCTGTGCGTGGCTTTCCCGTGTCTGGGGAAAAGGGCATCCTGGTGGTTGAGCTGAGCCCGGGGCAGGTTTGGACCCTTCGGGGTTCCCCTGGTAATTACAGTACTTCGGCTCCAGCTTCTCATAGACGGGCGTCCTGGCTTGGCCCGGATGCCAGGACGCCCGTCCTGATACCAGGATGCCCGTCCTGATACCAGGATGATTCAGTCAGTCGCCTTTCTTCTCCTATCCTACCTTTGCTTTTTCTCTCTTTCTGCCCTTTTTTTCTATTTCACCTTCTTTGGCGGCAAAGGTGGCGACAGAATTCTCTGTTGCTCCACATTTGATTCTAGCACCCTGGTAGCACTGGCAGAGTAACATACTCGGGCAAGCCACACCTGTTATGGGATGTTACCTATCCCCTTGTTGGGCTTTGTAGTGGGCGGTGCACTATAGATTACTGAAGTCTCTGCCCTTCAAATGGTCTCTAAACAAAAAACCTTCCCCTATCAGACTTTGAAAAGGGTCCGGTCCGAAGTAATCCGCAAAGACACTTCAGCTGCAGCCCGGGGAAGCTTCATCTGCTTTCTGGTAAACCACTAGCTAAACTTTCTCCATTTCTAATTTCGAAAACTTTGGAAAACTCATTTGGTCATAACTTCAAGGCCAAGAAATTAGCATCTGGTGACTTGCTCGTTGAGGTGGAAAACAGAGTGCAGAATGTTGTTCTTTTAGATTTAAACAAGATCTCAGGCTACGAAGTATCTGTCACCCCACATTGCACCTTGAACAGCTGTCGGGGCGTCATCTTAGAGGACCACCTCTTGCAGTCTAGCAAAGAGGAGATCTTAGAGGGCCTTTCCGGGCAGGGGGGGTGGTCGCTGTGCAACAAATCTCCATAGGCAGAGACGGACAGGAGAGACCATTGAAACACCTAGTCCTCCCTTTTGCATCCACCGTGCTGCCTAAAAGCGTCGAGACAGGCTATCTTCTCTCCAAGGTGCGCCCCTGCATACCAAACCCAAGACTATGCTCAGATGCCAACGATTTGGTCACAGCTCTGTCAGAAAAACGTGGAAAAACGACATGTGCAAAGTGCAGAGCTATAACCATCCAGCTGACACGTGCGAGGATACACTTCTCAAGTGTGTCAACTGCTCTGGTGCCCACCCCACCTTCTTTCGAGCCTGTCCAAAGTTTCAAGAGGAAAATAAAGTCCTAACGCTAAAGGTAAAGAAAAACCTGGCATACCCTGAGGCAAGTAAACGATTTTCCTTCCTCCAAGGAGTCATATATGCCGGGGTGACTGCCAGGGGGGCAGTGCCGCTACTAAACGCATCGGTGGGCCCCCGGTACAGTCTTTGCGACTTAGAGTGCTCGCCCAGCCCCCCAACCACCAGCGAAGCCTCGGTTGGGGGGCTGGGCCAAATACAATAGCTGTAAAGACCTTTACAGCTATGGTATTTGGGGCCGAATGCTGAAGTGTGTAGGAGACTTTTTGATGGACAGGACATTCCAGGTCCGACTGGGCTCTACTTTGTCAGATCCATTTGTTAAAAAAAAAAGAGTTTCTCAGGGGGGCATCATAGCGTCACCTCGCTTGTCGTCAAGATAAATTCCATCGCCAGAATTTTCCTGTCTTACATCTCATACTCACTTTAAGTAGACGATTTTCAGATCTCGTGTTCCTCTTGTAACAGTTTTACCTGTGAACGCCAACTTCAGTTAGCTCTAAGCAAACTTAGTAGTTGGGCAGACAAAAATGGTTTTAGCTTTTCTCCGGAAAAAACGGCTTGTGTGCTGTTTTTCTTGCGTTGTGGGCTACCTTTGAATCCAAACCTCGAACTAAAAGCAATGCAGTTGCCTGTTAAAAATGAGCACAGATTTCTGGGTGTGATCTTTGACAAGAAGCTTACTTTTATTTCCCACTTGAAGTGCCTTAAAGAACCTTAGGAAAAAAAAAAGTTTTTTTTTAATCAGTCTTGTTGGGACAAGCATGACAAAAAATAAATTTTACGCAAAAAAAAAAAATATTTAGAACAATATTGACGGCAAGAGATTTATTTGAAATTCTGCGCGCAAAGTCTATGACCTCACGGAAATGTCCTTCGCTCTTCCGACCTCAACAAGGTGATCATTCACTCTTTCCGCCTCAACGTGAAGGTGAAGCCGATCCACCTCACCTCCACACCAAGAGAGAAAACAAGTGGAAAAAAGGTGACTACCGACTAAATTACGTCTCGCGCCATCAATATTGCTCTAAAAGATTTTTTTTTCCGCATTGTATTTATATTTTGACACGCCCCAACCAGACTGTTCAAAGAGAAGTTTTCTAAGGAAAAATGCCTTGAAAGTATGAACCCCTTAAAAGTTTTGGCACGCGAGATTTGAGAATCAGATAGAAGATGTCTGCTGCACCTATACAATTCCCTTGTGCAATCTAGTCTTGACTATGGTGCTATACTGTATGGATCAGCACGACAATCGGCTCTGAAAATGTTAGATCCAGTGCACCATCTTGGTTTACGACTTGCCACATGTTTTCCGTACATCCGTCATTCTGAGGTTATACGCAGAGTCCAACAAGTTGTCATTGGATAAAAGACGTCAATATCTAAGTAAGAGATATGACTACAAAATCTTAGCTAACCTTCGCCATCCAACATGATCCCATAGAACATTCAAGGTTCTCTCGCCTTTTCGCAAATAGGCCCAGCATCATGCGGCCGTCAAGCCTTTGCCTTGCAGGCTATCATACATCTCTTTAGATTTTTCCTGATGGAATGTTCCTACTTTCACCATTTGACTATATTGCTCCCTGGGAGAGACTGCTGGTTTGTTGCAATTGCTTGCTTACAAAATATAATAAGCACTGTGTTACTTCAATGGTTATTCTGCAAGATTTTCAAAAGTTGCAGACAAAGTATGCTGATTATTGTCAGTTTTATACCGATGGTGCTAAGGCTCAATCCTTCGCTGGATGTGCCGTGCATTCTGAGAACTTTTGTGGAACAAAGTGCCTCAGTTCCATCGTTGGTATCTTTACAGCAGAACTGTATGCAGTATTGTTAACAGTTGACCATAGTAGACTGAAGAGAACAGTAAGGTCGATTATATATGTGGACTCACAAAGTGTGATCACTGCAATTAGTTCCTTCAAAGACACAAAAAATATGCTTGTACAGCTTATCTTGTACAGCTTATGCATGCCAAGATTACTTGTGCATTGCAGAACAGATCACATATTATACTTTGCTGGATTTCAAGTCATATAGGTATACTGGGTAATGAATGACAAAGCTGATATGCTCGCTGCTTCCACTCGGAACCTTCAGCAGTTAGCAGCCTCCTCCCCTTACCAGGATATTAAACCGGTCGTGAGGATATCACTTTTCCAGAGATGGCAAACAGAATGGGACAAAAAATCTGACAATAAGCTTCACCTCACCAAGCCCATTCTTGGATTGTGGGAGAGCACCCCTTTAAATGGACGATGCAACCATTTTTGTAAAAAAAATGGGTTGTGCGTGTGTTTATACAGCCTAGAACTTGGTCTGCCTCACATGGGCGACAAGTCTCCCAGCTGTAGATGAGAAATTTAGCCAGTGCGGTACAACCGCTAGCCTGGGGTCTTTAACGTGCATCACGCAGTAGTGATACACGACCGCACGCCGGTACGATGCTCATCCAGATCGAAACGGGCAGGGGTGGGGCTCGAACAACCATTTTTGTACTTTGCGTAAGTACCGTTTAGAACGGATCCCTGACGTTAATGACCTGTGAAACACCCGTTTGTTTTCCACCACATGAAATCAATGTCGCAGAAAAGATTAAAGAAAAACAAGCAGCGTTCACCCCCTCAAATCGCAGCCAGAACAAGCTGCCTCGTGATCTGGAGCCAATTATGTGCTGCCAATGTTGATCATAGCCACGCGCTGGAGTTGGCAGGGCACAGTACACATGCCGAGTTCTAGATATTGTTACGGTTCAGCTGTTGTCATCATTGCAGTGATTGGGCACGGGCCACAACCTAAATTCTTCTCGAGTTATCAATTATCACGAGCCCAAATTGAGTGCTCACACAATGTTCGGGTCAAGTCTATGAGCCACATTCAAATATCATCACTGGAGGATACTGCAATCCCCCAGTTACGTCATCAAGTTTTGCGAAGGAGAGATTGAATGAAAACACTCACTTTTGTCCTTGAAATTACACAACAGCAAAGGAGTTTCTTGGCCAGTGGCATTGCGTGCGAGTATCCTTGAGTCCCACTAGTGTCAGTAAGCTCGTGTAAAGTGAAGAACATTCCAATTGAATATCGTTGCACTGCCCTTTTAAAGAACCGATTCCATGAGGTCTTATGTCGCCTGGTAGACCTCTTCTGTGGAGAAGATCCACCACGCTGTATACACTGCGGGGATATTGTTTCCATCCTACACATTCTATGAATTTGTTCCAGTCTTGATGTAAAACGGTGGCATCAGTTTCCTGAATTATTTAGATGTCATGTACCTTTTCACCCTCTTATTTTACTAGGAGATCGCCCCCTTATCCCATTTGAATGTGTTCTCAGTTTTATTTCTAGCACTGGCTTTTTACACCAGCTTTACCCATGATAATGACAGGCAGCATCCCATTTTAACCAGAATGTGAATGAACCCAGTTTGGCGCACCTTGGTCTAAGTAGCATTTTGCGCCATAAAGCCTCCAATCATCGCTTTCTACATCGTCGTTTTCTTTTTCACGTGTTCTGGTCTTTGTCTGCCGTGAAACATCAATGGCGTTTTTCTTTTATGCCATCCTGATACCAGCGGGGTGGCACGCTGGTACCGTATGCAATAGGGCCTCTGTGTCCAATATAGCAAAAGTATATGGATGTAGAGAAGGGGAGTTGAGGTATTTTGCTTCTGGCTCAGGGCGCAGCGTGATGAACTGGCCCAGCGGCATTCTGGCCAGGGTTTCACGAACACCATGCGGGCAACCCCAGGTGCGCCAAGCCGCTGAAAAAGGGGTTGGAACATACTGCCACATTATCTGTTGTTGCAACATGGCAGTCAGTTTCATGCTTAGCATGTCACACCCCATATGGCATTTTATTCCTTAGGGTTAGCATCGGTCTAGTCCAGCTCGTATTGCCGCCGACTGTACAGGCACTTGAAGCACTCATACCAGGTGTTTCACCCAACACTGGCAAATACCTTACCGCAAAAACTGTGCGTCGCACAGGAGATATTTATGCCGTATTTGTCGTCACCGAAGGGCCTTTTTAGACAGGTGCCCAGCATTTCGGATAATCAAAGCATTAATCGGTTTTCAAAAAAATAACTTTCCGATTTGTAAAATTAAACATACTGTTTTAAGAACGTGCTACCGAAAAGCGCCAAAAATTTCCGAAAGACCTGCATCGTGCCGAAAGCATTGGAGACATGTAAGAGCTACTGCTCGAGCGACAAGGTGCATGGTCGGCGGAGCAACAAATGCACACAATGAGGAACACGAAAGATCTTGTGGTTCCGTCAAAGTTGAATGAATTTCTGGGACCCAGGAAAACGAAGCATGCAATCCAAATCTTTCTAATATTGACCAATTTAGTGGTTTTTCCACAATGCCAAACAAGTTTCTGAATAGATTAGAGCATTTACTTTTACTAATTAAAAGTGAATTGTTAAGCTAATTAAAGACCTCATTAAATGCTTTGTACCTTAATAATTAGGCCCTTAAACAATGACTGTAATATGGAACTTTTGTTTTGTGTGGTTGGTGAAAAACCCGATTTAGTGAAGGTGCTGATATAGTGACGTTCGTGAAAACCCAACTTCACCACGGAGGTTGTGCTGCATAGGTCTCGGACACACACCACGTGGCGTCAGTCAAACGGCGACTGCTGGAGCCATCCAACCAGGTTCCAGTGGACTCCCAGCCGTGCGACTTCAAGCTTCCCTTCAATAATAATAATAATCCCTGGAAAAGGGGAACAAGGAGGACAAAGGACATGCAGAAATCTTCAAACACAGCTACAGTGAAACCTGTTTATAACGAACAGCAGGAAACGCTACGATCAGTTCGATATAGCAAAACCCATTTACAAAACCCAGCTACGACTTTCCCGACGATTAAATATCGATCTTTAAATCGCTGCAGCCACCCAGATCCAGCGGTGAAACCCTCAACGTTCAGGAGGGATGCAAAATCTCTAGTCTTGCTTTGCAACATCGGTTTGGAGACCGGCAGGTTCCGCGCACGAATGCCTAAAAACCATTGGTACAGCGCTTTTTCCACCTTGTCGTACGCCGGCTTGCGGATGCGCCTGCTGTCCGCGTTTGGCCGTTCACGAGGCTTGTACTTCTGGGTCAAACTAGAGTGCCTTCAAGTTCTCTTCGGCGGGACATGAAGGCCCCTTAGGTCAAATGAAAGTGACTTTAGGTGAAACAGGGCGCGAAGGGAGAGGAGGCGAGAACTTCTCTTTCTTTCTCATCTCTTCGCTTCCTTCTTGTAACAACGCGCTAGATTTTTTTTAGCTTATCTTCGTTTTTTAATTGCTTTTCTTCGTAAGCAACCGCTTTGCACTTAAAAGATTTTTTTCAGTGCCCCTTCGGAATCGCTTTTCTTCGCTTATTTTTGTTAGCAGCTCGAGCTTTTGGAATTTTTTTTTTTCTTTCCACTTTTTCGGGCGAAGGCATTGGCTGAAAGACGAGTGTTTGCACGTTTTTGGAAGCCTTCCCAGGGGAAAAAAAGTTCGATATAGCCAATACGTTGTTCGTTATAAAAAGTACTTTTTACATACATTTTGATTTAAATTTTTCGTGAGTTCGATATCGACAATAATTCGCTGTATGTGGGTTCGTTCTAAACGGGTTTCACTGTAGGTGACTGGTGCGTGACTGAAAAAATCTGCCTGGTCCTGGTATCGAACCAGGGACCTTTACATTTCCAGTGGAGCACTCTACCAACTGAGCTACCCAGGAGTTAGACGTCAGTAGAGAAACGGGTTTTAAAAGCTGCCACCATAATGATAATGCCATCATGATGATAATGCACTAGTTGCATTATCCTCATAACCTCAAAAAGCAGGCCATTCAGCCTTGTTGGTGACTGGTAGCAGCTGTTAAAACCAGTTTCCTCGACTGATGTCCAAGTCGCGGTTAGCTCAGTTGGTAGAACGTTCCACTGGAACTGGAGAGGTACATGGATCGATACCACCAGGCGGATCTTTTCAGTCATCACCTAGCTGTGCGTGGAGATTTGTGTTCGTCCTTTATCCCCCTTGTTCCCCTTCTCAAGGGATTATTATTGTTATTCTTGTTCAGCTCGCTTGCACCCCTGCATTAATTGTATTATAAGTACTTCCCTTCAGCTTTCTCGGCACTTCATGCAGCGTGCAAAGCATTTCACTAAATTAAAAATATTTTATAGATGCCACAAATGTAAGAGCAGTTTGCCCCGTTTTTGCAGAAAACAAGCCCAAGAAACCACAGGCCTGAAGCGGAAGGTCCTCCTAGCAAAAAGCAGCGAAACCCAATCACATGGCCTTGAAGAAGTCGTTGAGTCTCTCACCGTGTGCTGCATTGCATATAGGTACAACTCAGCCTTGCAATCCATGTTGCATTATACAAAAAATGCACTGCAACCCTGTCTACTTTCTTAACTTCTTTATTGGTGCTATTCGTTTTCCAACTGCCTCTCTTTTAGTGTAATATTTTGTTGTGCTATAGAATCAGTCATACTCACGGTTGTTGCTAGAGTCACCAAACCTTTTCAGCGAATTCCTGGACAAGATGGGGTATGAGAAGACAGTGGGTTGAACTTGAGCTTGCATACATCGGTATGAAAGCTTAACCTGTTCTACTTGCTGCAACATTCACTCATCGTAAGCAGAAGTGAACCGAGCGATGCTGATAGCAAAGTACATGTGTTATATTGGCAGCAGGCACCTTCCCTAAGTGGTAGATTGCAGCCATCAAAGGCAGAAGCATCGAGCAAGTGCCGACGGCAGGGACACATGCAACATCTTGTGGCCGTTCGGGGGCTTTGCCACAAGAGTATGGTCATGGTTAAAAGGAACACAAACCATGGAGCTGCTACCAAGCAGAACCTGCATCACCTCATAATGGAGGGCAAAGGAAATAAAAGGGACCAGTTCATCCTTCAACCTATGGTGCTAGGTTTGTGCTGTCCCACGATGCATCCCAACACAAACAAGAAATGTGAAGTGGTATCGCAGTGAATTGGCTGCTCAGAATCCTGCAATGCCTTTAGCCTTTTCGCTACAAATGACACTGCCATTGTCCCCTCACTGTCATTGGCCACACAGTTGTCAACAGTCTTTGGTTTCTGCGCAGGAGGAAATGCGACTAAAGACCGAGACAAATATCCAACGACACACACCGACGACAATCTTAACAGAGCAGCACCGCCGACTTTTGCCAGGCAGCTTTGCGAACTCTGAACGGCCAACGCTTCATCGTTCATCTCTCGTAACCGTGAGAGTACCTAGGCATGTGTTGGTAGTCGAGTAGTTCGATTCCGCGATTCCTGCCCATGCTTATCACGAGAACATCAAAATGGCATTGGTGCCTTCCTTGTCACTCCTCCAAAAACTGCGCAAATTCTTTGGTTGCTAGAGACTGCTGTGGATGAGTACATAGAAATGGAGCTCATTTCGAAAGAATGATTATCTGAAACCTAAAAGCCGACCTCACTTTACTGTAGGCTGTCCCGACACGAGATTAAGGTAAAATCCCGCAGAAGTGCACACTTCATTCAAGCGCCCACTAATAACATTTCCCAAACTTGGGAATTCTGCAAGTATACTATATGTTAACCGCCTGACTTGGCCAGACAAGGCCCCATATCTAGATTAATCCAGTTTTCAGTGAAAATGGGGTGGGCGCTCCCTCAGCATTTTACGGTAACAAGACGGCAAAAAGTGTGCACGTTCAGATGTTCATTGAAATTGCCAGCACAGGAGATAAGGAAAACCACTGACCAAATGCACAACAGGTGTTGTTTTCATAGATGATTACAATGATGACAGCACGAAATAATACACCTTATTGCTAGTGTGAAACGGATCAGTTTTATTGTTATATACTGTGGGGACCGAAGAAAGAGAATAAGGATGGCTCGGGGGCCTCTCCTTGGGCACCAATATGGAGATGAGATGACCACTACAAACTATGACAAAAGAAACATCACACACAAGTGTGATGCTTCTTCTGTGTTTGGTACAAAAAAGAAATGGACTGCTTGGAGTGACTAACAAGTAAGGGCTTTATGAGCCATGAAAATGCCTTTGTGCATCCCAAAAGGTTCGGGACCCCCATTTGAAAACTACTTACCCAAAAAATCTGGAAGACAGCAATCGTCATTGGCCCTAGCAACCCTGCTGCCAGTCAAGCTCGCTTTGTTCAGCTCTCCAACACTGTAATGCGGCTTTGCTGGCTCCTAGCTCCCAAAAGTCTCTATACGAATAGAATTAATGCTTTTTATTGCCACGCAAATTCTAAAAAGAAAGACATGGCAGCTTGATGACTCGGTTCCGTTGCACCATTTTCAAGTTGCTGCCCAGGGCACACGCCACGTGTAGTGGTACAATTGGTGCTCTTGCTACTCTTGTAACTCTCGTACCTGGGGCTTTGATGCCAGGAGGATGGCTGCGCAATCGAGCGATGGTAAACAGAAGCATGGAACATTGAGCCAAATACTTTACCAGGGAGAATACATTCCCCTCCGTTCATTCGCTGGAGACAGTGCACCAACACCGCTAAATTCCCCCTAGAGGCGCGGACATCCGAGAGAGTGCACGTGTGACGCCGAGGAAGAGGGCTGCCGTCGGTGCACCGAGATACCGGGTTCGCCGAGACAGCATAGATGGCCGTCTCGACCGGCCGTTCGAGTGATAGACGGCAGCACCCAATTCAAGGGGGAAAACCCTGGGGCTGTGGCACACAAACAGCCGCTGGAGCTACGCAAAGCCTGTCCGTGCCAAGGCCATTGGATTTCCGCGAAGCAAGATGTATTCCCCTAGTAAAGTTTTTGATCGAGAGCGCAGGACCGTACAAAGAACAAGAAGGGGCAGAAAGAAATTTGACACGGGAGGCGGTGTAATGCAACTGCTCGTTTATTGTTAATTATTCGGTCTTGTCGTTTATTATAAATAGTGGCGGGAGAGATTACAGTGTCGGCCGGCCACACGCCTCGTGGGTCCAAAGTACATTGCGCATCCCGTGTGCACAGCAACATGCCCTCAGCCCTCCTCCTCTTCATTGTCGTTCTTTCTCTTGTTTTTCTCGCGTAAGAGAGAGAGAAAGAGGGGGAATGAAAGGTGACTGGTGCGTCGACGCGCCGTAACCGTGAGAAACAGATGCACACACACTCTCGGACCACGTGCACTAAAAGGGAGGAGGCTTTTCTCTCTCTTCTCTCTCTCTGCATGAAGCCTAGTGCCTCTGCTAAGCCCCTGGGGGAGGAATCAAAAGGGGAGAGGGGGAAGGAGGATGTTTGTGTATAGCAGGGAGTCGACTATCGTTTTTTTAAACCCTTTGTTATTTTCATTTTTTTTTGTGCGTTTTTTTTTTTTTTTTTTTCATTTGGAAGAGATGCAGGGATTTAGTAGCTCAGCGGAAAGCGAAACCAAAAGATGCAAAATAGACTCGTCTGCTTTCTGTTGGCGCTTCCGTAAATGTGGGAATGTTTTCACCTTTTTTTTTTTAGTTCTTTTTCTTGTTTTGTCATGTTTTTCTGGTTGAGAATTCCCCACACGGGGCATAAAAAGGGGGGTGGTTGTCGTCGTTGTGGCGTTTGGAATGTTTGTCTGTGCTAGGCGTGGTGGCATTTATGTCTTGCGTGTCTCTTTTACGCGTGAATGATTCAAATGATTCCCGAACTAAGGATTTTTTCTCTCACAAAGGCAGCGTGGTTTTTGATTCGGGGACACTCGGTTGCTGTTTAGTTTAAGGTGGGTCAAGAAGGGAAGCCGGCTTCAAATACTGACAAGAAATACTACTAGTACCACGCTTTTGCACTCGACAGTCGTCTTTTCTTCCCCATCTGTCGTTTCAGGGGTTCCGGAATAGCGTCAAGACGTACCGTGTGCGACATCATTCATTGCAGTGAAACTTCATTGATCAAAAATTAAAAAAAAGACTGGGCAAAACTGTACAGTCTGTTTGCATTAATCGTCACTCCATTCATGTGCCTTGGAATTGGAACGAGGCAATGAAAGGAGCAACGTCGCTTACCCATACACACACACAAAAAAAAAAAAAAGAAGGTCGATGGGTGGCAATGTTGTGAAGTTTCTCGGATCCGAAGAGCCTCAACGAGGGAAGCGTTGAGATCAAATAACCGAGAGAAAGCGACCAACTAAACTGGTACCTCAGAGTCTAAAGAGCACTATCGTACAACACAGGAAAGGACACTTCCGGCTAGAGCCCTGACCACTTTGAACATAGCGGATACACCCTGGAAGCAATGAAAAGAGCAACGAGGAGTCCGCTCCAGCCCAGTGTTGTACATACACACAAATGTTCCCAAATATCCTTTTTTTGAAGGCAGCCGTACGACCGGACTGTAGCTATGTCTTTTTCTCAAATACCGACGAAAGCTAAGCAAAGGGAAATCGGCACGCACAAAGGGTGGCGCGTCATCGCCGCAAACTCGTGTTACAATGCGAAAGAACACTCTCCAAAACACGGCCGTGTGGCAGTCTCCGTCGTCTGCGACGGAAATGCTGCTAGTCATGTCTCTAACGAAACAAGCCCAAACGTGCTGAGAATTAGGGTGGCTGGACTGGAAGGTTCTTCGAAGTCAAACATATGAACGGAGGGCAGCCAGCCGGGATGCCATAAGGGTATGATACAGATGAGATATAACGCAACAATTGGCACCGAGCATTCTTTTTTTCTCCGGTCGCACCTAGAACAAGACGTGCGCCGCATCGAAGGAAGCATTTGGAATGGAAGTTGGTTTCAGCACTCGCAGCAAACGCAAACGGGCGCGTAAAAGGTATACTACCGTGACCTGCAAACAGTGGGTGTGCTCTCGTAGAAACAAATTAAACTACCAACCACCATTGTTGCATTATTTAACTGTTTGGCAGAATAGTACTACCACTTTCCTTATTTCAGGGTGCATAAGTGACGTTAACAGCAGCAAAACTAGAGTTTTATGGTAGACGCATTGAGCAGCTTTCTGTTGGCTGTATATGGCTGGCATTGCTTGGTGCAGGATAATGGCAATAAAATCGAAAGAGGTCGTGGCGGGGGACGCTGTTCCAATCGGTAATTGTTTTGCAGAAGAAAGGAGAATAACCGAAACAATCCGAGCGACTTGGAGCCACTTATTGCCTCAAAGTTTGCGCATATTTATGCTGGTTGAGAAGGTATGTGGAAGATTAACAGTGCTCAAAGTAGAAAAAATTTACATTGCAATCTAGAAGAGTGGCATTACGTTATTGATGTCAACAAAGAAACAAAAATAATTGCTTTTTTTTTCGTACCATTCAATCCACATTTCTTTTCCTGCACAGTGGTCAACCTCGAGCCAGCGTCAACGAGTGAGTATTAGGCGAGGCGAGGTAGTGTAGGGGTGGCACCATTGGAACTGGGGACGAGAAACATTTCGGGGAATGGTCTTTAGTTCTCGGACGCCCAGGGGTGAATGTATTGATGCGCGTGTCCTGTTTCATTAAGACCGATTCCTCCCATGTGACTAAGAAGCAGAGATCTCCCAAAAGCAAAGGAACGAGCAAAGATGACAGAAGGTAACACTCTGCTCAATGGCGGGTGGCAACGGCTGCGATAGCACAGACAATGCGGAACAACACTCGAAGCACAAAAAAGCCTGGCTGCTACGCCTCTCTGGCTAGCACACACCCGTAGATGCCGATAGGTTACGGGCAGTCTGGGCCTAAATTAGAAAATCAAAACTACGGCCTTTCGACGTGGCTCCGAGGCTGCTATATGACAGCAGTGCTAGGCAATAAGTACTCTACGCAAAAGAATGTGTCTCTGTGACCCTGAGGAAGTATATAATGAGAACTATGTGAGACGAAACAACTTGGAGTGAAATAAATAGGCTTGCCTTTTGGGGCAAAAAACAAACAAACAATGGAAACAAATGCTACTAGAAGTCAACAATCGACACGCTCGACAGGCTTTCGTGCTCGGTGCCCCACAGACAGAACGGAAGGGCCTTCTCTTCAACGGAACACACACACTCGTTGGGAAATGGCGTCGCGTAAAAAATGCTTTTGCCACTCACTCAACAGTCAAGCAAAAACTCTGTACGAGCAGCCTACGATAACAGAGACCGGCACGGGACAGCTTCAAAATGACTAGACCCGTTGTGCCGCCGAGCTAGCTGCGATAACAACGCGACAGCGAGATCATCAGAAACTGGCGCACACGGAATGGCTTGATTCCCTAGTTTGCAGCAAGGTTCAACTCGCACTTCTTGTTTTCGAATGCCGGCGCCTGCAGCCACAAAAGCTCTTGCGTAACCACCCCGGCACCCACTTTCCTTCCTGTTTGTAGCCCACGTGCCTACCAGGAGGTTGTATGTTGCTCTTCCAAGGGGAGGGAGGTGGGTTGCCTGATTTTGGGCGCTTGCTGAAGGTACCGTGGCGGGGGCCAAACGAGGAATGCTCGGCGGCATGCCTGCTGAGCCGGGAGGGGCCAACGAAAGAGAGTGGACGAGGTCGCGAGCAGAGAGCGGACAACGCCAAGCTGCCGGCCACGGGACCAACTACACGTACACAGTCTCACAAAGCTACACAGAGAGATTCAACCACGTGACTGCTACACAACCGATGTATAAAAAATGTTGAGCAATGATGGCTATTTTCTTACGTCTCCGTCGACGGCTCCCCCGGCGCGACTGGCCGTCCTCTCGACGGAGACTTCGGCGCGTTGGGGGGCGCCTCCGATCTGCGAGGGGAGGAGACCCTTTCCCCGCATCAAGCGAGGGAGAGAGGGGACCCCGGGACCGTCGCCAGCTACCCGGGCGTCGGAAGTGCGCCATCCCTTCAAAGGGCCGCGCAGCGTCGACTCGACGAGTGACCTCCTCTGCCGAAGCTCGTTTCGTGCGCAATTTAGTATCGCTAAATTTACGTCTCTCCTTTTTTTTTTTTTTTTTTATTTCTAGATAAAAGCAAAACGAAATTACTGCATTTCCAGTCACCGCGAGCTAGGTCGCTAAACGTACGACGTAGCGTGCGATGCCGGCACGTGCGGCGACGCACTGCGCTCGTGGCACATCCTCGACGCGACGACGTCGCGCGTTCCATGTGGTAATGGCAGTGTAATGCGTCGACGGCTTCATGCCCGTTGCACGGCGCTCGTTATCGTCTGCGACGCGTTTTCTTTCTTCCATAAGACAAACTCAAAACGGGTTTACATCTGAGAGACGTCGGGCGCCAATGTGATTCTCCCTGTGCCGTGTTGGGGCATCGCCTTGCGTTTCGGCGAGCTTCGCATGCGCCCCCGGGCATTCGTACGCGTGGAACAATAGCGCAAGAGTTGGCTCGTCCACTAGCTCGAAACCAGTGCCTGGCACGGGAAGGAAACCAGAGACAACTGAAATTAATCGGTATCTCGTCCTAAGCAGGGGGAATGCAAAGCGGCAATGTGTACCCGGCAATCCTCAGAATGTGCAAGACTCCGCACTGCCGTGGAGTGCACCGAACAGCCAGAGACGAACTAACACATCCACCTCTGTCGTCTCGGATACGCGCGGGCTAGAATAGAGCCCACGTCAAAAAACGTCTTCGACGGACCAGATTCCTCTCTATTTGGCCAGTACTTGCGCGGCAACTCGACGCTTTGTTACTTCAACTGTACAAAATTATTGTTAGCAAACGACGCCCCCCCCGCCCCCCCACCTTGGAGAAGGTGGAATAAACGTCTTTCTGCCGAGGGCTGCAGCCTTCAATGTGGGACCGCCTTTGGCCGCGTGCGACGGCCGCGGCCGGACTGCCTCACGCAACGAGCCTACAAAGAATGTGCCGGTGCAGATCTCAACAGCCGGAACGTTCCTTGTTGGTGGGGGTGCCTCGACCTCTCGTATCGCTACAATACAGTCGCCCGCCCTCGTGAGCGTGGGTTATATATATATGTATATATTTATAAATCCTATAAAAAAGCAGGAAAAAAAACCTTACGGCCGCAGAAGGCCGCCGAACGAGCGGCGCCCTGCTGCCTTCCCTCGGCCGTCGAGCCACATCTTATGTATACTATGTACAGGTCGTCGCAATTTCTCTATATGTCGGAATCGCAAGCCACACGTGGCACGGGAAACTTCTGTCCCATCGCCAGACCGAACGGCAAACGTCTGGCGGCTTACGAGCCAACTCCTGCCGGCTCGAGGTCTGTGAGCGAGATGGTCTGTGCCGTTTGCGGGACCAGCTTCCTCGCGGCGCCAGCGCTGCCACGTCCCGCGATCGACTGGCGCATCGTTCCCCCCTCCCGACGTTCTGTGCTTTGAAGTCCTGCGCCCGTCGCAGAAGACAAGATGCATCTTTGGTCGAGGTCTAGGCGTACTCTCGGAACCAAGTTCTCTTCCCGGACCCTCGGAACCCACTTGCCTTTTGTTCTTTCGAAGGTGCACTATATTTGCGGAGACATAGAAAAACGGAAACCCAAGGCGGCGTAGAACTCGCCCGCGATGTCCGAAGGCTGCCACTTCTAGCATTTAGTGTGTCGTCAGCTTCTCCTCTTGAGTGTGAGCACCGTGGGGGGGGTCCTTTGGGGCTTGTGCAGATAGAGAGACCCCCAATCTTCCTCGTCCCTGATGTAATGTTTCTAATTTTTGGTTTTCCTTTTGCCACTTTTGTCTCGCGCGGTGGCTGCACGCCCGAATGGTTAATCACCGAGGAGCAAAGGTGTGCGCACCAGTTCTATAATTATTTTTAGAAAGACCCCGAGGGAAATGGCCCAGCAGTCGGAGCCAACTTGGCAAGCGATCGGGAAAGAATCCGCGGGAAACTTAAAAGAGCCTCCCACCTTTTTTGCAAGAAGCGGAAGCTTCGCCGGCTTCCTGCTGCACCCGAATGACCATCTGAGTACCAGCACCTGCTTCTTTGCCGCACGCTAACACGCCCCCAATTTGTCGCTTTTTTTTTTTTATCGAACCGAGATGAAATCGTCAATGTATGTGACGAAACAACGCCGAGCCGCACCGAAAGCTCGCGCCCTCGCTCCGTCGCGCGACAACTCGCCACCGCGGCCAACGCGGTGGCTTGTCCCCGGCCCCGAAGTGAGGGCGCGCACACGCACTTTGCACGCCGATTTCGCGCCTTGGTCCGCGACGCCGCATCGGTCCCACTGAAGCTTGTGCCGCCGCTCACGTGTACTTGGAGACCGCGTCGCACCTCGCCTCCTCTGGCAGCACGTGGAAGAGGACCGAGATCAGGAGGCGCCGGATGGCCGAGAGCTCGCCCTTGATCTCTTGCAGCTCTCGGCTCTGGCTGCGCCCCAGTGCGGCCAGGCACCCCTCGAGGCCGGCGAGCCGCGAGGCCACCGTGCCAAGGGTGGTGGTGGCAGGTGGCAGCGCGTGCTCGCCGCCCCGGTGCTCGGCCGCGCGGGGCAGCGTGTGCGCCCCACCGGTCCCCCCCGCCGGCGCCGCCACGGGAGTGTGAGGCGGGGCCTCCTTGCCACGCTGCGCGTCCGACTTCTTGAAGAACTCCTCGTGGAAGCCCCCCAGCCGCCCGAGGTCTCCGTCCAGCTCCTCGAAGTTGCGGCCGACCAGCAGCTCCGAGCCAGAGAGGCCGCCCCCGGACAGCAGGCTCGACAAGTCGAGCAGGTCATTGGCCGGGGGCGGGTCCGAGCGGCCGGCCTCGTGGAAGTGCAGCAGGCTGGTCAGGTCTTCGACAAGGGGCGGGGCCTCGTGATGGTGCGGGTGACCGCCTCGGCCCCCCGCCAGGTGACTCTCGCTGGTGGCCGACGAGGACGGGCGGGGCGCGGCGGCCGACGACTGCAGGTGGCTCTTGAGGTCGCCCAGCAGGCCCCGGGGCCAGGTCATGGTGGCCGAGGGGTCGCCGCACCGCCCCAGCTCCGCCACGTGCAACATGTGGCTCGAGCTGGCCGCAGAGGCCGCGCCCCCGTGCGCAGCCGCCACCCCCGCCGCCCGTCTTGCCGTACCTGCGGGGTGGGGGGAGACGCCACACAGTGGGCATCCCTCACGCAGCACCACGGTTTGCATGGTCGGCTCTAAAGGCTGGTTCATACAATTGTGTGTAAGCGCAAACAACTGCATTACGAACGCTTGTGACTGCTTACGGCGAGGTGGTTGCTACGGTAGCTAAGATCAAACAATGCGTCGTAGTGGAACGAAAGGAGTTGTAATGCAGTCGGTTACATTCAAACGTACCCATCTGTACCAGTTTTTAGCGAGTCAACATTTTTTTAAGAGCCTTAGCTTCTCTGGAGGCTAAGCTAAGGCTCTTGACGAAATGTTGCTTTGAGGCCTCCAAAAGGTTCCCTTTCAAAGTTTTGTTTTTCCAGCTTTGACCATGTTCATGTTTCATTTGGTCTTTTATGATGTGCGGCATTTAGACATTAGTTTGACCATTCGTTCAAACCATTTTTTCAAAGTAAAATGTAGTCTCCCATCTATCTAACATTTGCTAAACTGAAACTGCATAGCTGAATGGCTTTAGAACGAATGTCAATTTGTGCCGCATAATTTTCACTCGATTAATCAAGTATTTATCTAGATGCTTTGCGCACAGCACAAAAGTGTACATATAAACAAGATGTCACTTTAAAACTTGTTTTCTGGCACACCGTAAAGTTCCGAAAGAATCCCTGCCGCCGAAAGATCACCCATCCCGTTTTTCTGGCTAAATATCTGTAACATCAAAATTTCTAAACATTGCCCACCCCCCGGTTCCCATCAGACGTCAAGCGATGTCCGACGGGAATCGCATCAACTGCGCTATTTGCTGTACCGCCACGTCTGACAGGCGAGTTCATAGCGGATTCCCACGTTTTTCTCCGCGATCTGCGTGCACGATATCTGCTCTCATAAAATGCTAGTTGTTTCCATGCGCATGTTGCACCGTGAAATGCGAATCTGCTGTGTCCGCAATCTGCGGTATTCGTTCCCATGACATAAGGATTGTAGCGGATTCCCATACTTTTGTCCGCGATCTCGATTCCATGCAAGTTGGTCGCGCGTGTGTATTGCATCGTGAAGTACGATTTTGCAGCGTTCGCGATCTGCGGTATTTTTCCCTGTAACATACACGAGTTTGTAGTGGATTCCCGAGTTTTTGTCTGCGATATGCACGTGCGATATTGGTTCCCGTGACAGGCAAGTTTGTAGAGGATTGCCAAGTGTTTATTGCACCATAAAACTTGTATCTGCTGTGTGTGCAATTTGCGGCATTCATTCCGTGAGATGCGAGTTTTCAGCGGGTTTCCGCAGGCCCTTTGCAGCGTGAAATCTGCTGCGTCCGCAACCTACAGTATCCTTTCCCGTGACACAGGCGTTTGTAGCAAATTGATTCCCGCGTGTTTATCACATAGTGAAACGCGAATTTGCAGTATCCCCGTTCTGCGGTGTCAGTTCCCGCGTCACGTGGTTTGTAGCCGGTGCCAGGGTGTTTATCATAAATTTTTTTTAATAAGTTTGATTAAGATAGATGGTGTTTTTCACCATTTATCTCTTTATTTTAAGTGGGCATTCTTTCGGAACTTTACGGTATATAGACTCAAAACCTCTCAAAAATAAAAAAAAAATATCTATACTATGCCAAATGCCTCGATAAGAAACAGACACAGCTTTCAAAAACATTCATTGTGGCTGTTGTCCACACATATTAAAGGAGCTGTGCAAAAGTTTCAGTGCTTTGCTTAAATAATTTGGGAGTTGGTGTCTCGACCTTTCTGAAGTAAAGAACAAAACACCGCTCTTGCCCGCATGTCCTAGTTTTTATTTTAAAAATGGACAAAGATTGAGGTTTTTGGCACCCCTCAACTCCTTAACCATCTTCCGAGTCAAGTGCGCTGTGACGTCAATGGGGGTTGCGCGGGGTTCCAGGAGGCTCTCTCTTTAGAGCCATCAGTGAGCAGCGAGAACTCATCCGCTCGCGACCGCGTGACCACGTGCTGACGGGCACAGCGCGAACAATATGGTGAAAGGAGGAAAATCTCATCCGGCTCCGGCCATACCCGTCCAGCTCCGTCTCCCTCCCCCTCGGGCTTTTGGCGACTGTTCGCGGTAGCAGACAGAGCTGACGGTTCTGTGGACCTAGGATAGATGGCGCCGCTAAAACTCCGTATAATAAAAGTTTTGTCGATGATACCAGGTTCTTGACGCATTTATAAATTTATGCTGGAACGACAATATTTACAGCAAAGTTACCTTTTATCGAGCAGGTATTCGCACAACTTGCTATCTTTCTACAAGAGCCCCACTGATGTCATGCCGCGTGTTTCTCATAGCCGCCGCTCACGGCTGCAGGTCGGGGAATATTCTCATTTTTGCCTCGCGATTACGCGGCAGAATGGCAACATTTCGAAGGAAGGAGGTGTGTTTTTTGTCCTTTGTGACAAGATGAACAATGTCAAAAGTAGAAGATGCCAATTCTTTCAACATTAAAATCGTTGCACTGCTCCTTTAATCACAATGCTATTTCTGATTTCAGACATTCCTGCATGCTCACATCTAATAGATGTGACTATAATACCCTACAATAAGGGGCCTTATGTATTTACTTATGCTTATTCATTGATGACTATGCGGTGTCTGAAATTTCTTGATTTCCAAATGAATTTAAGAAAATGCCCCAAAACAATGCTCCGTGCTGATATTCCTCGTGAATTTGAATTTATCAGAAGAGCTGACTTTTCAATAAGTCAGTGGCCAAAGAAAAGTACTATGAATGCTTGTGGTGCCATCAGTAATATCCTGAACAATGTGTTATCCATTGCACATGGATACATTACATCAAGCTGGGACTTCCTTGCATCTGGGATTTGCTGCCCTATCTCATCGCACTTTATAGCACCCGTCTTCAGAAAACCTAAGATTGGGGATTGTAAAAACAAATGGGGTCTAGAGAACTTTGGTGCATCCTCCCACCCCTATGTGTTTCCCAGTCTCAGTTTTCTGGTCACTTGCCTACTTGTTTGTTGCTTAGATATGTCAGTGCAGCAAACTGTTCCAGCAATATCTGATGAGAATTGATGTTTTTTCGCTCTCGCATCATTCATTTCGTGTAACAGGAAATTTAATGCCATAGAAATGACCCAAATAAATCTCTACTTAGAGAAACAAGCTTAAAAAAAACACCCTTTGCATTTCCCTGCAAAACTCGAGAAATTAGCTTGTTTTGGCCTGTATGGCATTTTGCCTCACTACCAACAGAGAATGAGTTAAACTTTTGTATTCCGAGTAAATAATCTAGAGGTGGGTACGATACAGTCTACGGAGGCATTGAGTGCACTGAGTTAACCCCAGCCAATGCCCACATTCAAGCACTGGTTCGTAACCCCCACTCTGGCTGAGGACCACCAATATGCGACGTCAAACATATAATGAGGCGACATGCCATGCAGGGACAATGCAACGACGAAGGAGGGCTGCATACAACGACAAATGCCTGCAACACTGGTGTCTCTCGTTTACAGCCTGGCATTTAGAACTTGTCACACGTGAGACTGAAGGGATGGTGGGAATAAAAGAATCCTGGGAGGCACGCTTTGTCGGTTTACGGCTCCACAATATCGAACAAGCTCATGCGTGATGACGTGTTCATGCTTTGTCGTACAATCACGGACAAAACAAATTAGGATGTGCCCATACATCCTAGTTCACGTCCCTAGTCGATACTACACAGTGGTACTAAGAGAAACCATTTTTTTGTATGAGAAACCTTTTTAACACAAAGTCAACGCACAAAGTGCATCCTTGTGTTTAAATTCATTTGGTCCACGACTGTACGAAAACCGAACAAGGTTCCGCTGTTATGCTCGAGTCCCGCTAGAGCAACCAGCAGAAATGACCAACACCGACGAGCCTCCAACACGTGCAGCATGCACATGATGGGGTACTGATCTCGGAGGTGTCGCACTACGTTCAAGAGGATTGCGTTGCTGTCAAGGAGGTCCCCTGGAGATTTGCTTTTGGTACTTTGCTGTGGGGACTCGTTTCCTCTTGCAAATGTAGAACAGAGACCTTCACTTTTTGACAAACAAATAAATGTTCGACAAAACGTGGTCGCTTATTGTTACTGATTAGCAGATGAATGTGAATGCAATACCTTCTTTCCCCTGGTTTTGGGCGTTCTAGCAGATATAGAAGCACTCAAAGAAGTTTGGCAAATAAAATTTTACTCAGGATTGACCCAATCCCGAAGAAACAAAATTTCACGTGGAAATGAAATAACAAAGCAACCCATATTCAAAATGCTAAGAAAGCAGCCATACAAAATCGAAATTATGAATGTAGTAGGCTGAAATGTTTATTGTAGTACGCTTGAATGTTTATTGTTTCAGGCAACTCAAAAGAAACAAACTGCATCCCATCCCCCAAGTCCTCTAAGGCACTAGATATTTTCTGCCACGACCGTTTTGGAGGAAAGACCACAGTCCCCACAAATAAATCCCCACAACGAATCCCCGGGGGACCTCCCCGACTTTCCTCCTTACCCCTAGATGCCCCTTTCCACTTCCATCCTCCTCTCTCTCTCTCTAATCATCCTCTCCCTCCTGCTTTCCTCCTCCTTCTCGGGTGTAGTGCGACGCCTCTGATATCAGTACCCACGATGGCACCCTTGGCAGGCTTGCAGTCACTCGGCGCTCGCAAAGTAAGCACGCGTGACTGAAAGCCTGCCAAAATATAGCTTTGTGTACATGCTGCACTTGTTTGAGGCTTCTCGGTGATGGTTGTTTTCACTTGCTGCTCTACTAGAACTCTGGCATTATGATCGTTTAACCTAACGACCACAAAGTCTGAACAACGCACCTTTGGAAAACTCAACACTTTTTTGGCTCGGGTGTAGTGCAAAAAAAAGGCATACACAAGCAAGGGTCGGCTTCCAAGCATCGTAAAAGTAGGGTCTCTGATTCAGATATTGTGGGTTGTCCAACAATAACACAAACTTCGTTGCCGCATGCAACTTTCAATGCCGCAC